TTTCCGTGTACGATCTGCGCTGAACAGAGAGGTGTTGTGTGTGTGTGTGTCTGCTTGACATATGGGTAGATATCTTGACTCTGTTCAAGTGTGTAGTAAAGTTGCGAGAGGAGTGAACCGCTAAATGAGGAATGAGTTGCCACCTGCTGCTCCGCAGGAAAGAAGCAGAAGTATTTCACGCAGGCTTGTGTGGGTGGTTAGCTATCCTATATGCTATATTCTGTCTGTATCAATACTAAGCAACGCATATAACACCACTCCCCTCCCTAGAATGAGTGATTCTAAAAAGCGCGATCGCTGTAGACCAGCTGTTCATCAACCCGCGGGATAACACCAGCGCGTTAAATATAGCACCTGGTATATTATAGCAGTAGTGCACGGGATATTCTGCCACCCAGTGAGCATTTCGGCTCTTGGCTGCTGTCCATCCTTTACTTACATACGCACGGAAGTAAATAATAGATAGCTATGAGTTATCATTACTCAGAAATAATCATTCCCATAGGTGTGAATGAGGCCAAAATGGAACTAATCTTTGAATGGTTATATTTAAACGATATCATTACCTATGGATAGATAATTAGGGAGTGCCTCATGCCGTGTTTCCTGGGACATCTTAGGAATCAAAAATTGATGCTCTCTCTTTGTTTACCTGACGATATGTGGATGTTTTATTCAAGTTTCTTTTAAACGATTTCATAGAAGTCAAACTTAATTCAGCAGGTCGTTATATTTTGCATACACGAGCTGTATATTTCGGCGTCATACGTGTTATTTGTAATGTGAGCAAAAGACATGCTTGCTTTTGCTATTAAGAAGTTAGAGTGGAATTTTAAAGATGATTTTGGCCATTGTACTTGTCTTATGATTTCTATATTTTTCGAGTGAGAGCTGAGAGAGGCTCACCCTTTAGATATACTTTAGGTTTAATAATAATGTTTTAAATCACTGCTTTATGTAGAAAGATAAATATAGAACGATTCCTTTTCTTTTTAGCTTGACTTTGTACATTGAACTTTTTTTCATTAACTAAGTATTCAGAAAGATTTTTAGAACCGACAGCATTATATCTTTAGAGCCGAGAATAATATAATAACTTATTTATAGCCAGACTTTTCAGGAATGGAAATTAAAATAAGGCGAAGAATTTGTCATAAAAATTATTTAATGAAATCTATTAACTTTTAGTTTTTGAATTCATTATAGGTATCACGTTTGGTAATTCTTCATGAAGAAGCCGAAGATGGAAACGCAGTGCCAGATCTTACTCGACCCGTTGGTGCAGTATCTCGAGCGGTTGACAATCTCATCAAGGTATCCTTCACTTCATGGCTTCGCAAGAATATTTTATCTATATTTCATTAAATAATAAGCATGGTTTTGAAATGTTCTATTAAGATAATTTTCTGTTCCAGTTCTCTGTTAAAATGTCATTTAGGTTGGCTATGATACATGTCATTCGTCGGATGATAGAATTTTGCAAGCAGATATGCCACCAGCTTTGCAAAGAGTAGAAGCTAGCTCTCGTTTGCTGGAGGATGCCTGTCATATGCTCAGAGCGGATCCATATTCTAGCATTGCAAGAAAAAAGTTGATCGAAGGAGCTAGAGGCATTCTTCAAGGCACATCTGCTTTACTGCTGTGCTTTGATGAGTCCGAAGTACGAAAGATTATTCGTGGTTGTCGTAAAGTTCTTGACTATTTGGCTGTCGCCGAAGTAATTGAGAGCATGGATGATCTGGCACAATTCGTTAAAGTAAATTACTTTATTACCATTTTTAATCTTACTTTTATTGCATTCCTGTATTGGATGGGGTATTCCAAATTGTTTACGTGCTATTTTAATATTATTTATTTTTCTATACGAATTTCAGGATATCAGTCCTTGGTTGACTCGAGTTTCACGAAACATTGATGCAAGAGAGAAAGAGCTGACGCATCAAGTACATCGCGAAATATTGCTAAGATGTATGGATACTGTGAAAACCCTCTCACCAATCATGATTTGTGCAATGAAGATATTCATTCAAATCACCGAAGAGTCGCAAAGGGGGCAGCAGGAAGCAGCAGAAAACCGGAATTATTTGGCGCAAAGAATGACAGACGAGATGAATGAAATAATCCGCGTATTGCAGTTAACGACATACGATGAAGATGAATGGGACAGCGATAATGTTACTGTTATGAGAAAGGCTCTTAGTGCCGCACAAAGCCTGCTTACCTCAGCTTTGGATTGGCTTGCTGATTCACGTGGTCGCGCTGGTGCTACTGGCGAAAAAGCAATACGACGTATTGTAGATTATTCTGAGAGAATTGCTGCACGAGCACTACCAGAAGATGCTCGCCTCATTAGGCGTACAGTGAGTGACATCACTTCGATGACTGATTCACTTTGTGAATTGCGTAACCAAGGTGGTGACAGCCAAGGTTTAGCCAGTGGATGTGCAAACAGACTGAAGGAACTTGTTGGTACGAAAGAAATCAGTGGTATTTTACCTAGCGCACTTACGAACACGCAACGCACTGGTGGTACGCATCCTGCACACACTGTTACAGGACGCCTTGAGCAGGCACTCAGATGGATGGATAATCCGGGAGTTGACGATAATGGCTTAGGTCATCATTAGTATATGCTAAATTCTATTGTAGATAAACTAAATGGAGTAACCATTGATCCGCAAGCTTAACTGCTAAATTTCTTTTAGTTCCAATCACTTTGATAAAAAAGTTTTATATTTTGAATAGGCTCGTTTAACGTTTCAAAATGTGGTTTTGGTTTTCCAGAGTATTTGGCCAAGTAGTCCTAGCCAAAAACGAATAGAATCTCGTCCAAAAACCAATAAAAATCTTTGAATTTGAATTATTAAGGACCTATTTTATGACATGAATTTCTTATTCTTTAATTCCACAAAAATTGGTCTTTTCAGGTTTGCAAGCAGTAAAAGCAATGACAAGTGAAGCGCGTAATCTCAGCGATTTACTGCCACCTGCAGAACGTGCTAAGTTGCTTGATCTCTGTGTAGAGATCGATCGGCTTGCGGATCAGTTGGCTGATTTGGAACATCGCGGTCTTGGAAATTCTCCAGCAGCGCATGCTATACGCAATCAGTTACGTAATAAATTGCGCGAATTAGTAGACATCATGAAGAAAGTAATCACTGATCGAGTCGTTGAAGACTTTGCTGATATTAGTACACCTCTGAAGCAGTTTGTTGATGCTGTCTATGCATCACCAACGATAGTTAATCGTGAATTGAGCTTTGAAGAAAAAGCGCATAACCTGGATGATCATAGCTCCAGATGTGCAAATACAGCACTTCTTGTTGCGAAATGTGGTCCATGCAAGAATAAAAAGACTGTTGAAGCTATTATTGAGGCAGCAAATCAGGTTTGGTATTTCCAAATTCATTGTTTGCATTTATTCAGAAAGGACTTGGCTCCTTCATAAACTTACTTCGTGGAATATCACAAAACCAGATATACTCCTGATGCAGCCATATTTTGTCCTTTTTTGGAAAGGAAGAGGAAAAGAATTTACTATCTACTTATACAGCTAGGATTCACTTCGTTTTCTTTGCATTAAATTTATTGTCTTGCTTTATGATTTCTAAAACAGACTTTTTTCCTCTCACTAGTTGTAGGTTAATGCAATGACACCACAAGTGATCAAAGCAGGAAAAATACGCTTGCACAACGACAGCGATTCGGCCAATCAGCATTTCGATAATTTACGACGTGAATATACGGACGTTCTGAATAGACTTCGTTCTCATGTTGATGATGCTATCGACACTAGTGATTTCATTCGTGCTAGTGAACAGGCAATGCGACAGTATACAGTGTATTGTGAGAATGCAATTCGAAATAATGAACCGCAACAAATGGTAGACAATACATCGCAAATAGCACGGTTTGGGAATCGTGTCCTCATGACAGCCAAAAATGAAGCCGATAATTCAGAAGAACCAAGTTTCGTACACAGAGTGAACAATGCAGCTCAACAACTCCATTCTGGTTTGTCTGTTGCTTTTCGTAGAAAATTGTTCTGAGTTTTTCTGTAAACCTTTTCTAATATGATTTTAGAATTTAATCAAAAAAAGAATGTTGTCAAGCCATCATTCATGTTTTTATAATGCATTTCAGCGATTCCTCCAATGGTGAATCAGGCAAAACAGGTAGCGTTGAATCCTCGTCATGGTGGTAATGCACAGAGTTGGCGTGATGCAAATGAGCACTTATTATCGGCTGTAAGACAAGTGGGTGATGCAATAACAGGTGCGGGGGGTTCACGACCACCCAGTCAAAACCTGCTGGTTGAGTCGGTACCACCGAAAGCACCTACCAGCCCAATAGTTCACGATCGAGTATACATAAGAGAAGATATACCGACACCACCAAGACCGCCACCACCAGTGGAAATCAGTCCACCACCCCGTCCACCACCTCCACCAGAGACAGATGATGAAGAAGAAACACGTGCTTTCTGGGAAAGATATCCACTACCCGGAGCATCTAGCCAACCAATTTTGAATGCCGCTCATAATTTGCATCAAGAATTGCGTCAGTGGTCAAGCCAAGAAAATGAAATTGTTGCGGCGGCAAAACGTATGGCTATTTTAATGGCAAGGTTGAGCCAGCTTGTGCGCGGTGAAGGAGGAACCAAAAAAGACCTCATTGACTGCGCTAAAGCTATTGCGGATTCCAGCGAAGAAGTTACGAGACTTGCCGTCCAACTTGCTCGCCAATGCACTGATATTAAGATGAGAATGGTATTTTTTTTTCTGTTTAGTATTTGACATTTTTATTTTTTGTCGCAATTGTTTTCCATTTTAAGTCGCTTTTTGTTTTATATATATATTTGTTCAGCAGAAATCGCCGAAAATATTATAAGCCGGACTCACTGCGTTTTAATATTCAAGTGTTTTCATTACTTCTCTTTTTAAAAACTCTATTCTAGACATTGTTGCAAGTGTGTGAACGGATTCCAACAATAGCAACACAGCTAAAAATCCTTTCAACTGTTAAAGCAACAATGCTTGGATCCCAAGGTGGGCTGTTTTCTTCAAGTCTTTGGAGAGTTCACTAGTGCGAGTTTACTGAGCTGAGATGTCAGCGAGGGTTCTGGGATTTTTTTTTTCGAGCTTACAACATAATAGTCAAAACTTTCTAATAAGGTTTTGACTTTTTTCTTTTTGCTGCACTGAACAAATTGTGGAAAGAAGTAATTTAAAAATGGAATGCAATATAATGTAGTTAGGATGACTTAGAACTTATTGGATCTGTCGAAATTCTGGACTTTGAATTTGTTCATTATCAGAAGTCTTTTCAGCGACAATCGGGCCCTATGGACAACCTATTGATGGTAAACTTGAGTGGCATGCTTTTTCATCACTAACAGTTCCGAGAGTGCCTTAACAAATTTTAAAAAGACAGACTATAACATCCCGAGTTCACTGATTTTATCAAAGCATGCTAAAAATGTAGCATCCGCTTTGATTTGCTTAGATTTTAGCATTTTCATAAGTAACTGTACTTACATAAACATTGATGCACAGTTCAAACCTATCGATTACAGGAAGTGAAGAGGATGAAGAAGCAATGCAACAACTCGTGTTGAATGCACAGAATTTGATGCAGTCGGTGAAAGATACAGTGCGTGCAGCTGAAGCAGCTTCAATTAAAATCCGAACAAACAGCGGTTTGCGGTTGAGATGGATTCGTAAGCCAATGTGGTCAAATTTTTAAGTGGACCATATGTCTTTACTAATTTGGAATTGATAATATTTAAAGAGCGCTTCTATTATTTTTTATTCGCTATGGAATTCTTTCAATTACATGAATACAGTGGAGTTGCCGCACTCATTAAAATTTTTCGCATTTTGATGTTTCCAGTGATGAACGATAGAAAATATACCTCTTGTTTAACAGCCCCAGGTCTAAACGGATGCGGTATTATAAGTAATATACGATGCTTATTCTGATCAGACTATCGTTTATTGCAATATTTAAACCATTAATGATTTGTACTCAGAATAGCAAGTATGTAAGGCTTAAAGTAAAAAATCCATTTTTCTTACAGTTTATAATAATGATACTTATTTTCACCCATGATATCTGGTGCCACCACGAGTGTACTCCCTATTACAATATTTGCTTTCTATAAAAAATATGTTATAGATTTATTCTAGCCGCAGATCGGGAAACCAGTATCTCCTCACTTCTTATTCCAGCACTATGCCTCATAATTTTTAGGTTTGTATTTCTTTAAATTGTTTACCTGCCTTTGATTCAACTAGCTTTCAACAATGTTCCCACAATAAAAAAATTTATATTGCCTTTGCTTCATCAAACTGCTTCCTAGCTTTTTTCAGTTCCTCACTCATTGACAGTAAATCTTTGACACGGCCAAATTTTTTAACATCACGTCGGATCAAATAGTGTATATCTTCAAGAGCTAATTTACCCGGTTTACCCATTTGTAAAGCGCGTTGGCACATATGCTGTATGTAGTTCGTTACAATCGTTTCCAGAAGTTCAAGGGTTTTGTCGTAGGGTACCTAGAACGCAGCCACTGAAAGATCTGGCATTCAATCAATGTAACCATAATAACATAGTCGAAACTCTTCACAACATGTTCTTTGTATTTCGATCACTGCTCAATTTGCTATGATCTAAGTGCTGTCAATCATGATCATTTTCTAAAAAGTTTGTTTCGCTCGAGCGTGAGACGCCATCACACGCTGGGTATTCTTATACATGATATATACCCATTGCCCGCATGTGCAATCAGCTCAAAAGACATACCTTGTCATCGCCAAAACCATAAATCATAGTGCGGAACTCCTTTCGGAAAAAGTACTTTTTGTCTTCCGGATTGTCTCTTCGTCTTTCATCGTCGTCCTCATCAGATCCAAACAAACTGCTTTCTTCATCAAGCATCTGAGGTCAGAAGTTTATTCAATCATGATGTGTATAGATATACCGGAAAAAAAAAAGCGTAAGTAGCAAAATATTTCAAGCAATTCGTAATGTATATACTACATTAAAGCTTCTTAGTTATTGGGAGTAAGTCCTTGATAACGCTAAATTTGTTAGCATCTCGCCGAATAATGTATATCCTCAAGAACTAATTTACCCATTTTACATATTTGTAAAGCACATATCTCTGTGTAGTTCATTACAATCGTTTCTAAAAGTTTAAGATTTAAAACACAGTCACTGGAAAGTCTGCCATTCAATCAATGTAACCATCGATAACATAATATCTTCCACAACACGAATAACAACAGTCGCAAACCTCACAACACTTACAGTCTTACAAGCCTTTCAAACACAAATGGACAATTCCTGAAATACGACTGAAAGCATTTGTACTCTTCCAGTCATAGTGGAACTGTCTCACATCTGAAAAATATGTGTGAAAATTCGATTAGAGATATTGAAGGCCCGAAGCCTCAGTGGAAAAGGTGCACGCACTTTTTTTTAAATGACAATTTAATAATTCGTTATCAACACCAACACTTGCAAATTCACTGTTTTACAGTCTCATAAAGTCCCGCTTCACCCGAAAAGTTTTAAAAAATACTGTTACATATATACAAGAGCTATGAACTTGCAAAAAAAAAAAAAAAAAAAAACACATTCGTCAACTGTTTGATCCATATAAATGAGCCAACTTTGTATTGTATGAATATTTAAATCCTTGTCGAAGCCAAGCACGTAAATTTTGCCAAAATACGCGATTCCAACGTCCCTAGAAGCAATAAAACTATAGGAGACGATATATGTAAAGTCTGGATGACAAATGGATTGATCAGTGATTAATATCTTTATTTAGACCTTGTTTTCCTGACCTTCATGGAAAGTCGGACTTTTCTGGCATATGGACGTGCATAAAATTTTGTACCAATGATGGCAAACTTCTTCAAAACATTGACCTTCCACTTATCAAAAGGTAAACGATGAACCATTCTGTACCTGGAAAACACAAGATTTTCTTGTAAATGTTTTTCTTAAAACATAACCTATACTTAAAAGGACGGACAAACTTTTCAAGAAGCGATGCTTTTAAAAATTTCAAAACAGCAATCCTTTTCTCGTGTGATCCTATCTTGTGTATAATTCGACAAGAAACTGCTTTTTCTGAATGTATTTTCGCCCAATCGATGCAGTACTGCAAATACACCATGTAAGTTATAGTAAATAACGTTAAATAGCATGTGTAAGCACTATTTTTACAGTTTTCCGAAATATAGGTCAAAATAAGATATAACATTTAAAAAAATGTAAAAAATCATGCAAAATATGATTTACTAACTCTTCTCAAACCTGGATAAATTATATAGCCACACCATGGTACAGCGCTACATGAACCAACCATTTTGCCAGAAATAAGCAACTTACTGCGTTCGCAATAAAAATTAATTACTGTTTTTGTAGAGTCAGCGATAATGTTGTAACTGTCGTCTGCTCCGAGATGCATTACTTCCAGAAACTAAACAAAAATAAGGTGATTAAAAATGCTTCTTTTAAAAATATTAATGCACCAAAAGGCAAACTATAAAATGACGAATGGGGTTCTTTTAGAACCATATCTTCTTTCCTCATTCCTTACAACTTACTTTTTCTGGTAAATTCTCAACTACTTATAAAATAGTAAAGTGAAAGTCATTAAATACCTTCCGCGCAAAATTCATATCGGTTGTAAGTAACAAATAATCATCTACATAGCGGATGAGTAAAGTATCACGTCGTTTCATCAGTTCCAAATATCTTTCGCAATCTGCTGCACCCAAGTAAAGATCACACAGACGTGTTGAAGCATGGTTACCTTGTGGTATGCCACGAAAAGCACGATAGATACCGCTACGATATTCAAACTGAAAAACCAAATATACACAGTCCCGTGTACTAACATTTCACTTCTCCAGAAAGCAATTTTTTCATGGGCAGCCATATGTAGCCCTAATGCATTTGCTTATTAAAAAAAATTTACTTCTTTATTGATGACATAAGTTTCAAGAAACCATATAACCATTTCACCCGTTATGCAGAGCTGCAATGAATAATATGAATGCAGTCATAAAATGTTGATGTAAGTTGAAAAACCGTTGGGAAAGATGAGACGATTTACTTCCAAAAGATTGCAATTATGGTTATCAATTCCACATCCGAAACCAAACCGTCGAGCAAACACCAAAGAACTCGTCCCAATCACACTTGCATTCAATCGAAAATGTCTAAAATCTAATCCTTTCATTCTTACACGGATTAAGGAAAAGCATTTGATAAGCAAACAAGATTTGGAATAAGAACAAATCACGAAATTATGAAACAGTTAAATTAAACAGAAAACAGTTAAAATATGAAAGTTATTAAGTAGAGATAGAAGGAACTCTACAGAACTACAAGTCGAAGTATACTACAGTAATGACATCAACATCATGAACAATTACAATTACAGTTTTTGCAAAAACATTAAACTGCATAAAATTTAAACGCGCACTTCGTTAACAAGATATGTTTTCTCAGTATAGAACGTAAGAGATTTTGATTAATGCAGTGGAAACAGTCTCGAACATCTGTTTTAACAGCATAAATTCTTGTCGATCTATTCATTTGCATGAACCGTCGAAAACGTCTGGGAAATGCACCAATGCCTGGAATGATAAAACAAGAGAAAATACACCAAGCTTCAAATGAGGAATAAAACAAGCTATGCTAAAATGATAAGAACGTTTTTCTCGAAACCAAATAAAGAAGTACCCATTCATTACAAGAATTACACAAGACTGAACAGATACAAAATTTAGACAATAGCATCATAATTTTCTGTTATGACGAATTATTACAACAATGAAGACGTATCAGTAGGCTAGTATAGTATAATAAAGTATATCTGAGCTAGTCTTGCATATACTTTGCATGGAAATGGAAATCTATGCACCTACCATTCCAAATAGCAGCTCCAGTAAGAGGAAGTTCCTTGGAATATTTGCGTTGCTTTGAACATATTAGATCAATAACTACTGAAGCTATTTTCAACGCAGTTGCCGAATATTGTCTTTGAAAGCTTTTTCCTGTTGGCACAATTAATGATCGTGTGCCTGAATTTTTTGGTAAAAACCGAATCTGTGCTCCAACTGTACTTTTCTCCACTTCTTAAAATATAAGAAGCTACTATATGCAACTTTAAGATTGCTAAAGTAGAAAGTTCACATGTTCCGCAGCACAGATTATCGAAACATCGTATACGATAAAGTCACATTAAAACAACCTTTCACTTTCTTTAGGTCCCTTTTCTCAGATAACAACTGAAAGCTATGACTTTCGATGCGTTTCCATATATCTTTTCGATAAAAACGTAATAGTCTTGTTGTGTTTTCCGGTGTTACATAAAACGCAGCCCTAAGCAAAGATAACATAACTAAATGCTAACATTAAATCGTATTAAATTACACATTAAGAGGAAGTGATCATAAGATCGATTTTGAGTCGAAAGTATACATACCAATACAAATAATACTATTAACGTTGTCCCACTAACGTTTTCTTTGTCCTCGAACTTATTCCTATCATATTATTCTCAAATATGTACTAAGGATTTTCTCTTTGCTGATATTCCCTACCAAATTTTTGACGAAAAACTTTCAAAAGCTCACTTAGTGATATGAAAAGAGGTTCTTAGAAACCAAAGCAAAAATTTTCGATGTATAGAGCATAATTCGTAAGATGGCAAATTTCTTAACCATTTTATTGTTGAAGTTTTGAACGGGATGGAGAAAAGATCACTCAACCTTACAATTTCATCGTACCTAAAAAGTAAAAGCTGATTATTAATCTCAACAACAAATCAACAACAAAACAACTGTTTCCCACTTCAAAAAAAATGTTAGACGAAATCTGTAAAGTCATATGAAGGGAAAAGTTCCATTCAAACAAAAAAACCGAGCTACTTCTTCAGCGAAGAGAAAAAATACACCCAAGGTTAAAGAGAATAGATGAAATACGATCGATAACAAGTTTCGTATTATATTTTCCGATTAAATCAAGTGGTAGCAGATAACCAAAAATTGCACGCATAAATCCGCGATACTGAACGTAAGTTACTGATTTTCTGAAATTATTATTGAAGTATACCGCACAAAAACAAGAGCTTCGTAGCGCTATCATTCTGAACACTAAACTACATTTGATCAAATAGTTTACAAACAGAATAAATGTGCATTTGGAAGACGCTCTTTTTTATCGACTAATCAATGGAATCTATAGGACACAGTGTAACGCGTTATCACTGAAACATTAAACATCAGGGAGGCCTGAAAGATTTTGAAAATCTTGAAAGGAAATCCAAAATTGACGAAATTCGTAATTGGTGTATGCTCAATGTAGCACCTTCCTTCTCTGAGAAGGAAAGGCTATATTAAGGAAGAATATGTTAATTTCTAGATATTAAAGAAGAAGAAATGTAGAAAAATTATAAAGTAACGATTCACAAAGAAACAAAAAAAAAAAGGTACCTTAATAAAGATTCAACATCGGAATCATCCAAATGTGGCACTGTGTGTTTAAGAGAATACTTTATGGAGAGATCTGCAAGTCTTTAACAGATTTTAGTGCACTGAATTTTAGCAACCTAGTGGTTAATTCTTTGGTTCCACCAGAAATTCCTCAAGCAACATAAACTTCTAACAAAAGAATGAAAGGAAACGAAAAAAGTAAAAATTTGAAATACCTTCTACGAATGTAACTACATATTTCTTCCAGAAGCAGTTGCTGCAGATGATCAAGTTTGTTAAAATTCTCCGCACCTATCATTTCATTGCAGAGCGAGACGCTATCAGTATAAGAATTCCGAAAACTTTAAGTTTTTTAAGAAAACCAAGAATTTGATACATAAATAATTTAACTGTAGCAGGAAGAATGGATTTAAGTCCAGTAATTACTAACCTTTATAAGCTCCAATTTCTAACAGCAGCTTTTTTAACAGTGATAGATGTCTTCTGCTGTGAGTACAAAATACATTTACAATCACTGTCGTATGTATTATGCTTTACAATCACTGTGGCATTATTATGCACAACAGTGCAGACATATAAAACTAAAGGTAAAGTTTCAAGTCAAGTTGTCTCATTAAAAGGAACATAAATCCAATTCCATATTCTTTTTCATTTTCAAACTACGAAGAAAAATTATCCTTATAAATTGTTTGCAGAAAAAAAAAAGACACGGAATCATGCTGAGCACGATGGGCAAATGACAGCTAACCATTCGACCCTGACGATGATTTAACCAGCTGTGATCAGTGGAATGGAAACACATGCGAGATCCAATCAGAAATTTCCTTTGTTCAGTCATCTCTAAAATTTCGCCTTCATCTGCAAAATAAGATCCCATAGTCACATTGCTTATATGACAATGCTCAATATTTATTTCGAAAACTGGCATAATATGTATTCACAGATATTCTGAAATCTAATAGATGAAGAAATCAATGATACGCATAACATCCATCTTACTTCCACGATCACTATGGTAGCTTTGAAAACTAAATAAATTTCTTAGGACTATATAAATCAGAACATGAATTCCAAAATAAGAATATAAACCACACTATACTGCCCACAAAATATCGTTACGGTTCTTTCCAACAGTTGAATACTTTCGGTCGCACTGCGTACTATCGAGAATTGGCAAATAATGACTCGGACCCTATTCAAACATATCACGGGTATTCGGAGAGAAAGCGAGGAAATTAGAGAGATTTTTAGATTCATCTGAATCTGTGCTATGTATAAGAATAGTTCTAACCCAGACATTTTTTTCAAACTTCCACTAATTTGCTAACTTTAATTGAATAACGAAATTTCTTGAGAATAAGTTTGTGTGTATCATTTCGCACTAATGGTGACATGAAATAGGGTTTAATTTGAGTAGTTTGCAGAGCCGATAGGGGAGTACTTTGCAGTGGAAGTTTTTCAGCACAACAAGGACAGGATAATGGGTAATAAAAGTGAGAAGTGTATCGCAAATTTCTAATGCCGCGAAACTCTAAGATATTATAAAAAACATGCGTGCAAATGTTTGAATTCACATTATTTACAGTCTGATATTTACACCCTAAACCGTTTTATACATAGTCCCTTACAAAGTGAGCGAATATCTGAAGGGAGGTAATAATCTGAACTATTATACAGTGATTTTTTTTTCTTTGCAATTAATATGAATCCACCAAACTTCAATGTTTCAAAAATAAATGTAAAGGAAGCTGTGATATTAATAATAATCGGAACTTTATGATTCAGGACATTTCATCTAAAAATTTGAAGTTTTGGAAGTCAGGGTAAAAAATTCAAAAGCCTACCGTTTCAATTTGAAATATGGGGAACGAAGAGGATAGATATTCAATATAATTCGAGAGGTTAGAACGTGCGTAATGGAGCTGCTTCACTTGCTTTTCGATTGTAGAGGTATATATGTAGGATGGTTCCACTTTCCACAAATTATTCCACCAAAGGGACTCTGCATCAAAAACACGTAACGGATAGGAAAAAAAACATTAGCAATTGACTTTTTCGATTCTACTTTCTTTATCACCTTTTTCTCAGAGAACAACAATGTTACTTTCTCTTAAACGGAAAGCACTGCAATTTGCATTTCAGTACAAATTCACTCTTTCATGAACAAAAGTAACATCAGCAAATCAAGCTGACAGAACCCCAAACCTTCAGACATATGGAGCTTTGTGGTATCTGATAGCATTTGTACTAAAAATTCTGTCATTCTGTTCATTTCAGAACACAGAATTCACACTTCACCTCAGCCAATGACATTGACAAATTCACAAATTGAGCTGGGAACTGATAAGTAGTATGATAAGCGCTAGGTGGGAATGACAAATTTGTTGCTGTCATGTAGTTTTAACATGTTGTGGTGTGGATCACCAGTGCAAACTGCTGCTGTGTTTTGTGCACATGAATCTTTTTGAAGCGAACACGATTCTTACAAAATTTCAACATAGACGCCTCATTCTGAACTTTATGAGAATCTTTTTTAGATAGTGAATTCCATACCAATACTGTGGCTAATTTACATAATGGAACCCATATATAATGGATCTATTAACAGTATCAAATCTACAACCAGTAATTATGCCGGTACCACATTCTCTATTAACATTGACACCGCACAGTACCTGTAGCATTCAAGCAGTTGTATTTCTTGGCTGTCATGCTCTGTTTGTTGCATTCCTGTTTGCATATTTGAATGTAACATTTGCTGCATTACGATCGTATGTCACGGTATTGGTCGCAAGAAAGGAGTACTTACGTAAATAAGTATTGTATTTTAGACCGAGCATGTTTGATTTACTTGCGGATCTCTGTGAATGATGTAGTAACGTTGAGATAATGGAAGTTATTTTAAGCTGCAAAATCTAGACTAAAACATTATTCTTCTTTAAGTCTTTTATTTTTGGAAGTAATCTTCCTGAAACATATTTTTGGACTCTATTTGTCCTGATGCATCAAATTTGAGAGCCAAGAGAAATGGAAGCGCTACGATAATTGCGAAGAAATAGAAAGGAAAGAATTAGTGACCAAATGTAATTACTCAACCGCCCTTTTTGTACACTATTAATTGATCTGATTAAAAACTACTAAAATTTTAATTTGCACTAGTGATGAGTTCTGCGCAATTTTCGATTGTCATCCTTAAATCTCTATTCTAAAGAAAAGATTGTCTTCTTATTCATTAGAAAAAATTGAATATCAGGCGAAATTCAAGGATGCTTGAAAACAAACAGAAGCCTTCTGACACTAGTAATGTCTATAGGCTTCCCTTGTCTTCACGCAACCTGAGGGGTTGAAATAGCTCTATGTGAAACGCACCTGTGACATAATGCGCACATACAGCATAAACAAACGTTGAGTAGGTCTATTTGGATGCATGGAAATCCCTGTGGCAGTTTTCAGGATGAAGGAGATTAAGAAAATGGTGGATTTCCACCTAACATTACTTATCAGTTCTTTGCATATTTTATAAGAAAAGGAAGACGAATAGCTGATGGGAAGCATTTCTGTTGACAATGTACAGGTCTATTTTTGATAGAACGCATTTTCTGTATTCGTCATGTTTTTGTGCTATATAAATAGCTCTGGTTTTCTTGGAGCACGATGTGTGGAGCAGAAGTCGTTTCGTGAATTTTGATGTATTAATGGTGCTAAGGTATTTTTAAATGGCTTGCGAACGGAAATATGGACAAATAATGTACGAATTATTCAGTACATGAGTAAACTCTCGGAAATGGGTAACAGAATTTGTTTGGAGTAATCATAACCACCTTTTTAAAATGTTTACATTATAGATCTGTAGTGCTTTTCTTTACTACAAAGTATTGTATATTTTTATCCGTTTCAGATCGATGGAATTGTTGGTTCAAAACCGGATCATACCATACATTATTGGCATTAGCGTTGGCGTTGTTATTTGTGTTTCTTACTGTTTCACTGCTAATTATTCGCGGAAATTTCAGAACCTGTAGAAGATGGCTGAAATAATTATTCCAGAAATATATACTCGAGAAAGTAATACTGACCATAATGGGCGAAAAGTGCCAGTTTCTCTCACAAAAAAGTTTAGTTATGGCACAGCCGGTTTTCGAGCTAATGCTACTTATCTGCCTTTTATTGTATTTCGTGTTGGATATCTAGCTGGTATCCGTGCCAGGTATTTCATTTTGAAGTTTATTACTTCAATATTATCTACACATATTATCAAAATATAGTCAATGTGTTATTGACTACAAAATATTCTTTATTTACTACGTTACCAAATAATGTCGGCATTCCCATCTAATTTGAATAGCTGAAATTCATTTTGTATTTTTTTCCTTTTTTTCATGTCTGAACAAAATTTATTTATTAGTGTTTTTTTAAACTCACTGTTCGAGATCCTTAATTTGGTTGGGTGAGTTGTTTCAGGTATTTAAATCAAACTATAGGTGTAATGATAACAGCATCACACAATCCGATGGAAGATAATGGTGTCAAAATAGTCGATCCAATGGGAGGCATGCTAGATGCCGCATGGGAAAACTATGCAGATTTGATTGTTAATGCCAGGTTCTTTTTTTTCCTTGCCACTTGCATTCTTTTTATTGTTTTCCTAAGTCTGATCGTTTACTCTTTTGTGTTGTGAAACATTGCCTGATAATTATATGTACATAATTATGAAAAAAGGTTTCTGTGTTCAGTGACAGTGAATTTCTGCGAAAGTCACAAGAATTTCTACGACAGTTCAGTGGAAGAGTCGTTGAAAATGCTACTGTTTTTACAGCTATCGATACGCGTCCAAGTTCAAAATATATAGAAGAAGCTGCACTCTGCGGAGCGCAGTGTGCCAGAGTTGGTGGTCGAAGACTGGGTAATTGATTTAATATTTTTTGGGTGAATGGCATGCTGTGAAACTGAAGTACAGAATTTCTTTACTTTTTGTAGAGAAGCCGAGAACTTGTAATCATTGTGAGGATAAACTGTAGTGCTAAATTTCCCCTATTTAAGTTGGCTCCGTGGGAACCAACTCATCGTCATATCTCATGTGATGGCGAATTGAAGCCAGATAGTACAAAAGAGTGACAACCCAATCTAAGAATAGTTTGATATGAGCAGGTGATCAACTGATATGTTAAAATTGCTTTGAGAGGTTCACACGTCTAACCAACACTGAGAGCTTCTCTGCACTGTAAAAGTAGTATTTTTCGTTGAGGTTTGCATAACTGGTAAGAAACTGAAATCATGAATCTTGAAACCACTAGAAAATCAGAAAAATAATAATTTGGTTCAATCACTGTAATCACTAGTGCACCATAGTTTCGTTTCCATAGTTTCACTTAGGTTAGAAATTTCTTGTTTTGCTTGAATGTTTATGTTAGACATAATTTCAGGTCTACTGACAACTCCTCAATTGCACTATATTGTTCGCTGCCAAAATGATTCTTCATATGGTGTTCCTACGGAGGCTGGATATTATGCAAAAGTTCAGAATGCTCTCGCTGGTTTGAATTTCGTAAGCTTTCACAGTACTGTACCGGATTACAAGTCATTCCTCAAATTGGTAGTTCCAAGTTATAACCACTGATCACAAATAGGTTCAAAGCTGAAAAGCAATACAACAGGTTACACGATGTGGAAAAGCATATATTCCAACGCTACATTTGGATTGTGCAAATGGTATTGGTGCTCAGAAGTTTCCCCTGATGTGTATAAGTTGGTCTGTCTTGGTTGTCAATTTGATGAACGATCAAAAAACACAACTCAATGATAAGGTGTCTTTAATATGAGCATTGAGCATGGATTTATTGTCATTATTTTCCATCAGTTTTCATAGAAAAAAGGTGGTTGTATAAATATGCTTTTCTCAATAGAAATTTTCAATTCTCATTTGATTTCATTCAACTATGCCATTTCGTATGTCAGGTAGAGTACGAAACATCCACTTTGATTTTAACAAACATGGTGGTTCTAATAAAAACTGAGATGTCTGAATTTATAAATGTGTATGAAGAGCTTTACTGGAAATGTAGCATTATTCTTACACAAGTATAACCTTAATCTACGATTTGGTTGATTTTCATAAAAGGGGTGGTGGGTGCAAATTAAAATAAATAGCTCTGATGTAGAGATTTGAGCGTGCTTTTGACATGTGGCTGAATCTGAATAATATCAAAAATACGACACATGAATTGATGATTATAAGTTTAATATTTTGCATTTGTTTGTCTAATGTTGGTTTTAGTGTGGGGCAGACTATGTTAAAATAGAAAAGAAATTTCCGCGCAATTTCGACAAAATACAAGCTTTTGAACGCTGTGCGGCTTTTGATGGTGATGCAGACCGTCTTGTTTATTTTTATCGTGATGCTTCGAATGAATTTGTTTTAATTGATGGTGATAAAATAGCAGCTCTTTTCGCGAAATATATTACAGAGGTACGCAGTTACACTGGATCTGATAATTCATCTAGGAAGTGCAAAAGCCGTGAAACTGTTTCTTGCAGCAGGTTACTGGTGCGGGACTCAGTGATGTATTTATGGTATCAGTAATACAAACGGGTTATGCAAATGGTAACTCCACCAAATTCCTCAGAGACAAAATGGTGAGTGTAGATGTTGAAATATTTGTCTTTAATATTTACTATCGGCGGTATTAACCGACAAAAAATATTCCCACAGCCATTCTCTTCAGTAGTTTATGGTGTATGTTCCAAAATTTTGACAGAGATGTTTTGCATTAGAGTTATAACGTAATAATTCAACATATCAGCTACTGAAACTCTGATGTAAGTTAGACAAGTTGTTGTTTATTCATGTGTGCGAAAGAGCGCACTTATTAATATATTTAACTTTTTAATAATTTCAGGGTGTTCACGTATGTTGTGTTGCAACAGGAATTAAAAACTTACAAAAAGAAGCGGTGAAGTATGACATTGCGGTATATTTCGAGGCAAATGGACATGGGACTGTATATTTTAGCCCTCGATTCTATGATATTTTAAGGTTTCTGATTGTTATCATTACCATTCTATTGTTAAATATATCCTTTCGGTTTATCTTTTATTTTGGTTTGTTTTCATTTATGAGGCGTTGGTTGGTTATTGTAGAATCTGCTATGGGAAACAATGTTTTAGACGTAGAAATTCTGTAGTATTTTATAAGTTAGAAACTGGAAAGCAGTTTTCCAGGACAGTAATCACTCATAAAGATGAAGTTGATCAGACAATTCAAATCAAAAGGCTACTTTATTTCTCCAAACTATTAAATACAGTGGTGGGTGATGCAATGACCGACTTGCTCGCTGTTGAAATGATTTTAAAACATTATGATTGGACGGTAGAGAACTGGAATAACATGTATAAAGAATTACCCAATGTGCAAAGAAAACTAAGGGTAACTTTTTCCAGCGATAATTTTTACTGGAACTAAACGTTCTTATATGTCCCGCAAAAGAGTAAAAAATTCAGTAAGGATAATGTCTATATTTTACGATATAAATATCAGTTGAATTCCCACAGCTGAATTTTTTTAGGTACTTTACTGCTAGGCATATTACTTGAATGTGCTGTACTGAAATGGAAATAAGTAATTTAAATATTCTTCCTTTTATGAGTATCACAAATAGGCAATAAATCGATCGGTGTTTCAAATGAGTGCTGATGAAACAACGTGTGTGAAGCCACGAAAACTACAGGGGGCGATAAATACCATCGTCTCAAAATACACTGATGGGCGCTCATTTGTCCGGTTAGTTTTTTTTTTTTCGAGTTCCTACATTGGGTAGGAATATGGAATGCTAGTCTTCTAGTCTACATTGATATTATTTCATATTCATTTTAGTCCGTCCGGTACCGAAGATGTGGTCCGTATCTATGCTGAAGCAGCGACGGAGCACGACGCGGAAGCAATTGCTAATGAAGTAGAAGTTGTAGTTGCGACGTATTGTGTGTGAATGGTAAGGCATCTGAAGAGCTGGTAGCCAAGAGGCACATGAATGAATCGGCTTCATCAACTATAATCGTAATGAGAATAATCCATTTTGCTTTGTCGCTAAAACAGAATTATTCCCGTAAAAGTTGTGACACTTCTTTTAGTAGAAGTTGTTTGATAGAAACTGGGAAGGATTCTGAGTCACTTAATAAGAACCATTTCCATTTTATTGAAGATGAAAGTTGGCAAAATTCTCCTGTTTCTCAAATTTTATGAGGTCGCGTAATTCATTATCTTTCGTATGGGGACCAAATGCGGACTACGAACTTTAGATGATTTATTTCCATTCCAAACAACAAAAACCTGGGAAAATATTATATCACAATCTTATCTTCGCATCTTTCAGCCATTTTTTCCGATTTTCTCTAAATTTTCGCAAATTTAGCTTCATACACATGAGACGCAACGTTTTGCAATGATCCTAAAAAGCTTAAGCATGACATTAGACCTACAAGAACATTCAGAACTCTCCAGGTTTGCTCAGCTTAGTAAGAACTGCATATGCAAAAACTATTCATAACAGCAAAGGCTTGTCACACTAATTCTTTGTGAAGCTTTTTTAATCTCTTAATCGTATGATATCCACTGTGTTGTACAGGTCGGTTTTATACAGCATAAAAATGACATGGAAAACTCCCACATAGGGGAACTGAACTGCCACTACGTCGCAAGACTATAGAAATGTATCTTATAAGTGACTATAGGAAAACATGTAAGTCTAAATGTCAACTGAATCAATCGAAAAGAGTAAGTGTACCCCAATCATTGCTTTAGACAGAGCGTCCATTAATTCTTCTTTTTCAGTGATATTATAAACATCATTTGTCCATAGAACATCAAATACATGACTTGAAACATTATTAGTAATCACTTCATGCCATTTCAACTGCAACAAATAAATACAAGATTTGGGTTTGACGTCCGCAGGAATCACTAAGTTTCTAAACCAGTTCTGTGGCGTTGATGATGCTTACCTCGGAAAGGATCATCAGGAAATGACTCCATTACTAAGTTACACTATCATGGAAGTCACTTTTTAATTAGTGTAGAATACTAACTTTCAGAGGTTTGGCAATCAATTCTTTGTCAGTTCCCGAAACAGTAGAGGATTTAAACAGAGTTTGTAGGAAGAAACTGCCTTTCTTATCTCGGGCCATTTCGAGAATTGTCGCATCTGCTAACGATTTCATTGACGTAACCACCGTTTTATTGTGCTCATAATTTACAAGTTCTTGAAGGATAATGGATCCGTGTAACTGACCTTTCGCAATATCAGAAATCCCTGCAACTACAAAAGACCTATTGAAATCAAGTAAACAATGTTTCTAAAAAATGAGTCAACTGCAAAAGATATGAACCACTGGAAATTTTACATTGTGCAGAAGTCCGGCAAGTAAGAGTGAATACACAGGGTACAAATGCTAATCTTGCAGATTTGGAGCAGCATCTGAAATAATTTCTCAGCTTTTTAACAATAATCAGCTCATTTCTATTGCGAGCCAATTGAACCAGTGCAATAATAATTCTCCACTTAGATTCAGCGCAAATATCTATGAAATGGTCCATAAGTTCGCCAAAAATGTTCATGATCTGAAATAGTCGTTCAGTACACTGATGAAACACGAGGTCTCTTAAGTACATCCACAAAAAATCGACAATGCTATTCATCACATCAGCAATATGGAAAGAAGGACCTAAAATCAGGTAAAACCTATAATTCGATCAATTAGAATGATGCACTTAAATGACTAATGAGAATGCAAAGAACAAAATCTTTGGATATCTCTGATTCCTCCAAACCATCTAATCCACAGCAAAAACCGAGAACCAACAGATTCGATTTGTGTCTTAACAGTCTTATCTTCATCAGTAGCATGAAAATCGATTCCTTCAAACTTAAGAGTAGCTTTCTTGAAACTATTATATACGTACCAATCCATTTGATTTTACCGATAAGATATATTTTTGTACAGGGAAATTGGCGAACATGTGTAAAGAGAGCTCGAATAACCTGCCTTCTAGAACGGAGTAATATAAACTTTGACGGAGATCCTCATCAGCCTATAAGTAATGCAAGGTTATTACTGAGCGAATGTAGTCCAAAATCCCATTCAAATATTTTAAAATCAAACCTTCTGCACTATAATATCCCACAAATGAGAAGCTTGCTTCCCCTTCCACTGTTTTAAAATGGAATCAGGATGCCTACAAGCTGCTTCAATAAATCGTCGAAGATAGCTAGTTTGAGAAACAGATTCACATTCGACCACATCTTGCAGAACCAAAGAAACTGATTCATTTTCCAACATAGCTGTAAGCTCCATTCATCAAGAATATTTGTGATTAACACTTAATACTAGATCAATTTCTATTCTTATTACCACGTTCTTATAATTCAAAAGTTTACTGAAATTACGATTTACCGTTCACTGATGCGTAGTCCAGGGCCACACTTGCAATTTTTCCAAATGTTTCTTTAGCTGCTTGACTAATCTCCACTTCTTTATACAGAACATCCTTCGTTAAAGATGTCTTTTGAGATCTCTTCTTTTTAAGACCAACGAGGTGATATGTAAGGGTGCGAATAAAATGAATGGCACTTCTATCAGATATTAACTGAACCCAATTTTCTACAACCAGATCCACCCAATGATCAATGATCTAGAATGAGTAACAGTCAGCAATAAGAAGTTACTCAAGACGTAACAATACATTCGAAACATTTCATGTTCCTGAGCAATCGCACAACAATCCCAACCGTGATGGGATATTTAAATAACACTGACATATAGAAATGGTCAAATTTACAATTTCTGAATCAAGCAAATCGTATGAGAAAGCACACAGCTATAACTTAAGAAACAAAAATTTTGACCAAGCAATATTTATCCGTAATCTCTAAGGAAATGAAAATCTGTCCATAATAGCCAACAAAAATGACTAAATAGACAGATACCTGAGTATCTAGAGCGTTTGACAGAGAAGAAAGTAAAGTTTCCAAAGTGCGACAAGACCAAGGCATGTAAAGCAGCTTCAACGAAGCATCTTTTCCCGATTTCATAATCTTAAACATCCACTGTCTTGCAGCATCGCGAGAGCCGTTGAAGATTTCGTCAATTAAGAAGCAAGGCGTACTGTATCTACACAAAGAGATTTCAGAACCCTGGCATTCCTCCAAACACTTTCTTTGTAAATCACCTAGAAATATGGGGATTTCTAGTATAATCAAACCATACCGCAGGGTAAATTTTCATTACTCTGACCTTCGTGACGAAGCACTAAATTTTAACGCTAATTAAATTTCAATCTACCTGAGAGAGAGGGATCAGCCCTGATAATGCAAACGACTTGTTTCATATATTCAACAAGTTCTGAAGGATATTCTATGTTGTGTTCAAAACTTTCCTTATCTACAGCTAGTTCGTGCTCTTTACGATAATCTATCTCTGCAGTACTAAATCGTTGGTCCAAATTCTCTTTTTTCCATCTGAAAAAAAAAAAAAAAAAAAACACACACACACACAAATAGTTCTATGTACCAAAGAAGTGATCGAGAATTGATTAAATTGTGAACTAGCGAAAGAAAATGTAACACACAACACAGTATAATAAAATGCGAACTGAGATTTAGTAGTTTAATTTAAAAAAAAAACGAGCCATACTTCTCAATATATCCAATATGTCCACATCGTTGATTAAAATTCTCCAGGTATTCACTGCTCCAATTACTACCAACTGCTAAAAGCAAAAATGAAGGCTTTTTGCAAATCTACCTGCAAATATCGCTCAAAGCTTCTTTTTTAATACACTTAAATATCCTTATAATCTAAAAATCGAATAAGGAATACTTCTACTACTTACCATTAACGGGTACATTGGGACCACGACCCAAGTAACAGTTCTCTACAACGCTTACACTTTTTCTTTTGCGAGTCATCTGAAAGAAATAATATCAGCATATATGCTTACCAGCAATTTATGAGTCATGCTGGCTTTTTGTATTCTCTTTCAGTTAATGAATAATTCTACTGATTTAATCCCACTTAAAAAACTTTCAAATCAAAATTAACGTGATGGTCATAAATCGAATTATGTTATGAACAAGTCAATCGAATATTATCAACTAACGTACCAACTGACACTTAACACTAAAAAAGAAAACAAATGAAGCGAAATATATGGGTCGAACTGAACAGTAGTACATGCATGAAACGGCAGTTGCAGTGAGCAAACTTTTAATGCAAAGTTAACATGAAACAGAAACAATTACATTATAAAAATACGCAAAGTGTGATACAAATGATAATGTACTCATACATATGTATTCTATCAATATTATAGATAAAAATAAGCTATTCACACAACCAACAATGATTAAACAGATCGTGCTGGAAGAGCACATATGTGTTTACTGCAATCTAAACAGTTTCGCAAACAACGAACTTTTTCTGATTTTAAATTTGACATCACTTTTCAGTAATAACATATCCCATTTACGAATGAAACAAAGCTGACAAAAATATTCGCTTAATTTGATATAATGGACAATTCGGGATCCCAACAGAAGTGTTATCAACACAATCTCGGGAAATAACATTCATAAATTAACAATTCCTCAAAAAGGAAAACCTATTCTCTATTCTCTTACAAGTTATTCTCATATTACTCCATTGCGAACTCTGTAAAAAACACTTTCACTTCTTCACTACTTGCATGTAAAATCAAAAAAGAAAAAAAAAAAACTTTCAATGTTAATCAAAATGTTTATCAGTTTAAATTAAAAAATATAACAACCTCCTATCACTGAGAACACCTACACAAAAACTCGATGGACCATCTGGATGGCACAACTATGTACTTAACACGGAGCAAAAAACGGTTAACAACGGGAAATGAAAAGTATTAAAGAAATTGATAAACAACAGGAAGACACCGAGTAGTTGCGGTATTATTATATGATTTCAGTCTCCAATAAGATGTCATATCCCTGAACCATATAGCTTCAATGTTTCATTAGATCGAAATGATTATTCAGCATCTTAAAGCAATTCGTTTTACTATACAATCTAATACTGTTCCGCACACTGAAATCGAAAAAACCAAAAATTAGTCATAAATACGGATTTATTTAGTAAACAACGGACATCAAATCGACTTCCACTAAAAGTAAACTATACATTAATGCCAATTTAAAATCCCTAGTACATTTTGAAAGTTTTGCAGTTCTGCGGTATATAATTGTGTGTAAAATGAGCTGTTATAATAAGACTCGCATTATATCACTGTAAGCCAATACAAATCCATCTAAAACACCCTTTTTGAACATATTTTGAATTTACGAAAGAAAAGAAAACAAAGAAAGAAGAAGTAAGAAGCAGCTGGTGCTGCTTTGCTATGCAAGATACGAAATGGCGTCTATAAAATACGCGCAGAAGTGGATTTTACCAATAATATACAGTACTAAGATTTGGAAGCAAAGTATTCAAGTTCAGTAACAAAACTAGTTCACCGGCAACAACACTAAATAAATATCATTCCTCAACATGTAGAATTCGCAGAAACCATATCCGAATATAAATGTTACTCTATAATAGCAAATAAACATGCCGGGTAAGCGGAAGTGATATGAGTGACAGGAATTGTTACCATCCACAAACGCTACTGATTGTTAAATTGATAGCTTCCAGTATTTAATTTAAAAAAAAAAGAAAAGAAAAACAGTACTGAATCAAACAGAAGGGAAAAACGATGCTTTCTCATGAGAAATGTAAAACTTCATTATATCCTAATTATTTACTGCAATTCTTCATCGCCACTACTGATCTCAAATCTTTAATTACTATGGTTAAAAATTAAAATTTACACATTCATACAACTGCAATATCGAAAATGATTGCCAATTTGGCAATTTTACATAAACCAAGAAAATGAAGTTAGCGAGTGTACAACCGTAATGGCAAACTGGAAAAGCAAATCATAAAAAAAATTCACCGGTAAAAACTTGTGAAAGATATCGCTCAGATCAAAAAGATCAAAAAATCACTCCCTTCCCCATACGTTACATTGAGGCGTTAAAATAGTGCTTTTTACGAGACAACAATGCAAGTTAATCAAAGCACGCATATTAAGAAATCTTGAGCTTATTTACGCAAACCGTATAATTTGGCAAATGCCAAAATAATTGTGAAAATTTCAAATAATTACGCATTTGCGCTTTTTTCGCGGTTTGATACACTGCTTTTCCTTATGTTTGCGTATTTCCCTAACCAACGTATAGAATGCGTCATCTACACCCATACGTGTCTTGGCAGATGTTTCCACGGCAGGCATGCCTAGTGAGCGAGATGCGTCCAATATAGCACGTGACTCTACTGTCCTTTGCGCCAAATCACATTTGTTACCCACGAGCACCATCGGCACCTGCAGCAATACCTGGTGCATTTACACTACCAATTGCGCACTTCGCATTACTCGTATTGCTTAGATATAAATATACGCAAACAGTATTAAATTCAGTGTAGCCCAAGATGATGAAACAAAATTAACTGACCTCATCACTGTCTTTGACTCTTCGAATCTGGTCACGATACTGAGTAACATTCTCAAAACTTTTTGCTTCGTTAACGGCGAACACTAGCAAGAAGCCTTCACCGGTTCTCATATACTGATCTCGCATTGCACTGTATTCTTCTTGTCCAGCAGTATCCAAAATATCCAGTAAACAAGTTTCACCATCGATTACAACCTATAAAATATAAGACATCAATTTATGACTATCATAAAGTAACTTGAACAAAGCTAAGGAGCTCAGCTTCTTACAACATATTGTTTAGATAATGCTTTATTGTAACAGATAATATTGTTAACATGAATGATTAACATTCCATAAAGATCAGTAAACGGTGCACACTAATTCCTTCTCAGTTTGGAAAACTCGTCAAAAGAATATCGAAGCAGTTCCCGGAGTAATGAGACACCCCAATCCCACCACATCATCCAACCTACCTTGCTCCCCATTCCAAATAAAACTATGGTGGAGGATGATGCTAAGTTGATAACAAGAACACAACCTGTTTGCGATAAGAATCTTCAATTGTCGGATCATATTCTTCAACGAAATGATTTTGGATCAGCTGAATGGTTAAGGCTGACTTGCCTACACCACCATCACCAACTACTACGAGCTTGTATTCGGTCATCGAAATCCCCTCTGCTCTTAATCGCTCTTCATTCGAAATACGAGCTGCAAAAGGAAAAGATTTAGCTCCGTTATTAAAAATGCAAAACTCTTTCAATACGTAAAATACAATTGATACAATAGTGATTCCGATCCTCAGAAAGAATTTCTAAATAAACAAAATGACGTTTGGAGAGAAATGCTAACTGCGCAAGTACAGGGAACAAGAATAACAGCCTGATGGAAATATAAGTAAACTGAAAATCAGACTGCTCCTAAACCAGTACGTAACAACCACAAAAAGGATTTAAAGTCTCATAGTCGAATTCCCATTTTTCAAACGAGAACCTTTTTTACTTATTGAAGAAAAAAACAATGAATGCATCAAGGACAAAAAAAAAAAAAAACGGAAGACTGTATCATTAGTATAGCTCATCATTACTAAACCATTTTGCTATGCAAAACTTAATTATGCAAATCAGGTATTATTACTACATCGAACAAAGAGAGAATAAAGATCAGCAGCCATGATAAAAACTGACAAGTAAAACAATAGCATGACCACATGTTGATTCATATAAAAATTCTTACTTGGTCTATACAAAAATCCACTAAATAACCTCATACAGTAGCCAGATGTTCAGTTCTTAATATAACTTAGTGGTACCGACTTTACTGTACTGGTTCAAGTTTATGAACACTATGCGTCGCAAGATCTAACAATTCGTCATCTGTAAGCCACTTATAAGTTCCCTTGTAGATTAGTTCACTCTTAGTCTTAAAAAAAGGAAGAAAGCACAGCGGTACAACGTCCCAACAAAAGTACTCCAAAGTGCAAACAAAAGAGACAAAAGTAATCATGTAGTGGCACTGGTATCTAGGAACTAATTTCACATTAAAAGAGGAATACAAGACAGCAGAGATGAATGCTGCAGCATATATCATAAAAGTCCTGAAATTCTAAGGAGCTCAGCTTCTTACAACATATTGTTTAGATAATGCTTTATTGTAACAGATAATATTGTTAACATGAATGATTAACATTCCATAAAGATCAGTAAACGGTGCACACTAATTCCTTCTCAGTTTGGAAAACTCGTCAAAAGAATATCGAAGCAGTTCCCGGAGTAATGAGACACCCCAATCCCACCACACCCAACCTACCTTGCTCCCCATCCCAAATAAAACTATGAAACCAGAGAACCTGTTCACTGGCACTATGCCAACAACCGTTTAGCCAGCAATGATAGCTGCGATTATATCACTTCGTTGGATTCCCAGTGCAACGACTTGTGTATCTCACTCAGGTTGTAACAGTCACAAAGTATGTTGAACTATTCCTTCACCGGTTTATTTTTCTCTTCTCTCCTCTTTTAACACTCAATCTCAGGCCTGTTCTTCTTTGTAACTCTTTCCTCTTCTCTCAACAACATTTGTTATCCTTCCTGTCACAGTCTCTGCTTTCATTTCCTAAAGCCAACTATTTGAAGCTGAAGGTGCAGTTGCAGCCGCAGTGTGCATGCATATTCATGTGTACGTGCATGTATGTATATGTATGCTTGTTTAGTGCACGGGGATGGGACATCCACTACCAGTGCATCAATCAGTAAACGGGACATTGGAAGTATTAGACTTGCGGAAGGTGTTACCTGACAGTTAAGATTATATGAATGCTAAAATAATTTCCAGTACTGACGATAAGTGTTTACTATTACGGCAATAGTTATAGCTGACCGCAACATTTACTGTCTTTTATCTGATGGCGTAATATTCCTGCAACTCCAGTTGACCAACTTAAAAAATGTTATGTCGTATACTAGTGACATATTTATTATATTTCACTGTTGCTTATCAGTAGTTCTTATTCTGGTTATTAAAAAATCGAGAAATGTTTCATTCGACGAACACTCATCATTGGACGCACCATGACATGACCATTTTTCTTCTCCTTGAAATGGAAATAATTTTAAAGAGAAATAGCTTATTTGATATGTTCACTTTTTAATTGTTACCTCTTGTTGAGTGGACTATCTACATCGGAAGGGTGGGAGACGCCTTTAGTCGTCCTGAATAAATACCGCGCATGTAATGTCACTTTGAACTGACTTCTATATCACTTACATTGCTCATGGATTTCATTTATTTCACTGGAGAAGGAGGAAGCGAAGGAAAAGGTCTCATTAGTTCTAATCAAATTCTTTTCAGCCTTCATTATGATCAATGTTAGCAATATAAATACTTGAAATGAGAAAGTTTTATGAAAATACAGTACCTTGCTATACTACTCATATAGTAATTTAAGATAATGCATGAATCATGATTAAGAGACACTAGGATTCAAACATATATAAAAAGAAGCAAGTAAACATATAAGTACAAATTTGTGGATTTTTGCTGAATTATGTTTATTTTTGATATTAGAGATCATCAAATTCTCATTAGAAATAAAGATTTTACGACTCAATCATTAACATGAAGGGACACTAAAGTTCAGATATACATGAAAAGAAGCAAGTAAACATATAAATATATTCAGTTGCATCATAATCAACGTACAATTTGATCTTAATGTAGTATTCGGTGGTGGGGTCACTTCCCTGTGATCTGCAATTAAAGCCACTTCGTTATTATTATTATAGATGTGATCATCAACATTGAGCATTGTATTTTTTTCGCTTTCACCAACTTCGGGAATACTGGTCTTCCAGAATATTTCACTATCAGTGCTGTTTGGAAGAATGGTATCTGTTTCCTCCATGTTTCCAACAAGCTCCTCCTTTTCTGCTTCCTTCATGTTACTTCTAACATCTTTGGTGGACCTGAAAGAAGGATTGATCGTGCCTTATGTTCGTAGTTTTATCCATATGCATCAAAGTAAAGAAGTAAAGAATAGTCAAATGCTGATAAAGCGAAGTACGGTTTTCCTTATGTGGGAGGTATTGGTGCTTTCTCGTATTTGTTTGATATTTTTTCACTATTTTTCGGTTTTTACTGAACATCGAATGTAAATTTTATGTCGTAAGATTACAACAAAATGAGCTAGCTACCGCCATGCTGACATTTGTATCAGTATAGTCAATTTTAAGCTTCCATAAACCGGAATATATTTTCTATTGTCGCATTTTCTGTGTATTTCTTCTGTGAAGATTACTGCTAATAATTAGTCAGAAATCATATCAATTCGGGCCAAGAAAAGGTGAATGTCAAAATTATTGATTTGTGGAGTTTGGAGAATTCCCTCGCGTGAGAAAATACAATCTTTTTGAGATTGTACGCTTAGGTCAAAGAACCAAATGCTGTCAACATATCCACGATGGGAAACATCGGGGATTTTTGTGTCCTGAATATCATAGTTTTGAAACCATATCTTTGGTAGTAAATTTCTTGCTTTCTCCTCTAATTTAAATCTATTAGGGAATCAAACAATACGGCAATCACTTAACTATGTAGTAAAATATGTGGTGCACTGCTGTACTACTGCTGCAAGAGGTGCATGTCACGTACTAAAAGTGTCTTGCAATTCGTCTCATTTTGCCCAAAACAGGAAGATAAAAATTGTCCTGGACATTTTCCATTATTAATAATATAAGTCACAAATATCCCAGAATTACAATTAAAGTTATGTTCGCGGTTTGGGGGGCTTTCAACAAGAATTGCTCGGTCGTCACTGTGACAGCCTCAATGTTGCAACTCTGCTCAGCCGGTGATATCTAAAGAATATAAGTTGAAAGAATACAAACTGAATGAGTGAATTACATGATTCCATTAATTTCAAAGTTTGTGTCTGTTCAACGTGCTAGATTGATCACATTCCAATTTAGACATTTATGAGTGAATTTCCCGCCACACCGTTCAGCCATTGTTGCTGTCACTGGAGTGGTTTGAGTAAGGACAATTTCTTAATTTAAATGAAAATTTTAAGAAATAAAAAGCTGGTGACTATTCCATTATTTCAACTGATAATCAAGAAAATTTAGCGGTATAATATTTACCATTGTTGATGTATCATATACTGTGCCGACTGTGTAGTTGGCCGTGCCGTAATTAATGCTTTCATTTCTTCCCCAATTCCATGATCTATAATACCACTTGAGTGATCATTTTCAATTTCTGAATAGAACCGATCAATCCCATTTATTGTTGTTGTTCTCCCAGAAGAAGCTGTTGTAGATGTCAAAGTCGTTTCAATTGTTAATGTTGGTGTTATTGTATTCAAAATGGTATATGTTGGTGACGCTTGCGACATTGTTAGCTGAATATTTTGGACATTTTGTGCATATAATTGCCTCATTTCACCTGTAATCTGTCTGAAATAAATACAAAGAGCTGATTTTATATGATGTACTGTGGATGCCAGCTAAAGCTGACATGCAGAAAACCAAATATTCAAGATGAATATTCTCGGGAAGAAAGACCGCAAAACTGTGGAGAAAAGTTCATCCCACGTACATAAACCACATTATGAAGTAATAATTCTTGGAAAAAAAAAAAGTTGCCATGATTATTTAATTATGGACAACGAATTCTTTGGTAATGATGGTTCGAAGAATTTCATCACCGTTTGGATCAACATTAGAAAATCGGTACGAATTTAATGCTTTAAGGCTGCTGATTATGGGCTCGAAAATTTTACTGTTAAAATGATCTTTCAGTTACCAAAAGTGAGGACATTCCTTGTCGATAAATCAGCATAAGTTTGTTTCCGTAGTACACCAATATCACCAACAAAATCCAAATGCAGTAGTCGTGTTGAGCTATTTTGAATCCGCAGATTTGTTAAATATAGTTCGGAAGTGGCTCCCACTTCCTGAAACTCATCGATGAAAGCTGCAGCAATTTTATTAAAAATTAATGTCGAAATATTAAAACGCTAGAAGCAATCTGAACTATTTGAACTGGCTTCAAGTTTCATAGGTTACTGTTGGATAATAAAATGCAAATATTCCTTTTCATTGTTAATCTACTGATGCCCTAGTTTAATTAACATTACAAAAGGAATAATTACATTGCGAATAGATTCAGTAAACATCATCAACTGGCCATCAACAGCAAACGATTCAAGCCATGCTTGTGTACGATATGTTTTGTCAAATTTAATCCATTTAGGAAGTAGATGAGATGATCTGTAAATTAAATGCCAAAAGTTAAATAAAGTTAATTTCAAAAGTTAGAGGTGTTTAGATTGGATCAAACTGGGACCTGAAAAGCAAATCGAATAAGCATTCCGACAACAAATTTCTTCGGAGACGATTGAAAGTATACAGCATTGAACGCTTAAAATCGAGCTCAACGATGAATTGATTGGATTGGCCAGTGCTTTCATCATTACCTGGTAATAATTTTAATTTTCAGTATCATTCTGCAGAACAGCCACCTAAAGTATGATAAGAACCTCAAAAATTTGTCCGAAATAACATAACACGTAGTTACAACATAATTTTATTTCGGATTTTTGGTACGAACCGAGAACATCAAAGCAGAAACCTTTTTGGGAGCGATAAACAACAAATTTTTCCATTGCCACCAAGTTACCATGCTTATTTATCTGGAAATAATTTTCCCAGGACTTTTTCAACATTCAGGAAAAAAATTCCCGTAAATTTTTATTCCAAAGTTCTTCAGTACAAGAATTAGCACAATAGCCTGGGTTGAATTTCAAAAAAAAATAATTACATATCAAAAAGAGAATTTGAGATAAACTGAAAAACAAACCCAAAATTGTTGTATATTCCACTGAGAGCCAACTGATTTGGCATTAATAAAGTAAATAATATCAGAAAATGTCGTGTCCATGAAGGATAAATCAGGCTCAAGAATAAAACTATTATCTCTAAGATGTGAACAGGCAGCATATGGTAATGAAGTAAATATTGAGTAACTGCAATTACAACTAATTGCATCCCATGGATTTTTATCGACTCATCATTCTATTGGAACATGTCCCGATATATTTTAAACTAAACGTACGACCAAACAACTCCAACTACGCTATTGTTAATAGCAGATCTTTGAATGCTTATATATATATATATATATGTTTATAGAAATGGTAGTAAGTAAAGGGAGCAAAGAGGTAAACATCTAAAGCTTACAGAATCCGATCTATACATAAATAATGCGATTGGAAAGTTTTCGATAAGGAAAACTAGCCTCATCATATTCCCACAAGATGCATTTTTTAGTTTGTGTCTTCCCACTTACTCAAAGAACTCCACTTGGCAATAAGTCTAAATTGTGAACACCAAAATTCAATTATTTCAAATGCTGAACCTTATCAAAATAATTCTTAGTGACCTTTAAAGATCATTACATAATGTATGAATACTGAAAGAAATTCGAAATTGACCTGAAAACTTGTCCGTTACTGACACTTTCAAGCGATGGCATTTCAATTGGCAACGTGCAAATACAATTCATGGCTTGCTTTATTATCAGAATAAGTGATATTTGCTTAATTCCTTGTCGAAGATGAAGTTTAACTAAATTTGGATAGCAATATGTATTACTTCGATCAACTTTCAGTGATTTGATCAGCATATAATTCATATGTTCGACGAAGTATAATTGACAGTCCTGTAATCGATATCTTAATTGCTTAATTTGTCCTTTTGCTCAATTCCAAAGATATGCAGCAATTAAGAAAGGAACAATTAATTTAGTAAAAATTTTCTGGTCTGCCCAATTTCACCAATTAAAAACAGCCGATTTGGAACATTCTTTGAAACTTATAACAGACTAAATGAAAATCACCAGTTACCATCTCAATATTGACATTTATTTGCTGGATCAGTTAAAACGCATAAATTACCTGAGTTATACCATATATAAGGAAGTCATTGCGAACGGTATGGAAGAAACGCATTGTTTGGAGCGTTAAAAAATCACTGCAGACACCACTTAACAAATGACAGATAATAAGATAGAAGGTGCGCAAAAAGTAGCATAATATCATGTTGGTAATAATAGCATGGACATCCTAAAGCAAAAAGAGAGCTTTCTTGAGCAATTAATTCTTTTATAGTCTCTATCTTACTTACCCTGCAATTTACACAGTATTCTACCAGTGAAGCCAAAGTAGAAATTGAAGCAGAAATCCTCTTACAAGAATATTTCTGATATGCCCCACCTAAATTAGAATGCATCGATTTTCCAGTATCAAACATAAAATAAAACATCTGACTGCTGCTGTTGGGAGTCAACTCATAAGACCCAAATCTGTTCATAATTTGCATTTAAGGGTGAATTCTCTGCGACTGCTGATGTGCAGAAAAAGGCCTTAGAGAAGAAACATACGAAAAGTTAGCTTAAATTCGCTCCTTTCTTTTCTTTTTAGCTCTAGTTGAAAAAAATACCAAAAATCGAAGTCGCCTTGCATCCTCGTTGTGCTTCTTTTTTTTTATCTACTCGTTTGTTTTGAATGGCACCGCAAATAACGACGTATTGAAAATAGATAAAAATATGTGTCCTGATTTAAGAAATATGCAGAATGTAGAAAAGGACAAAGAAGGAAGCGCTTCAGAATGATATATTCAGAATGATGGCAAGCAGTAGATAGATAAAGATGGTCAATGCTCATCTGGGTTAAGTATAAGGAAACCGCTACGGTAGCATCGTCACTACACTTTTCCTTCCGCTTTTCTTATGAAGTTTTGATAAACACAAGTTGCATTTCTTATGCACGGCAATCAATTCCAGCCTAGTGAACAGAAAGTGCAAAGATCCTAATATTAGTTGATGACCAGCTTTGAGAAAACGAATCCCTTGAGTAAAGTTTCAAGCGGACTAATCCAGCACACTCACGATGAATCCTTTAGTAACCCATCAAAACATCCTAAACGGAATTACAGTGCATATGACATGCCAATCTCCGTACACCTTCTCTGCATATATTAACACCAACTAAAGCCAAGCTATTGGTTTTAGTTTGGACTATTTCAAAATGATACGTAAACCCTCACTTATTATTTCTGCAAACTGGAGATTCTCTAGTTTCCAGAATAAATAACTACTCGGAAAAAGAGAAAATACCAACCATGAGAATACACTGTGTATTTAAGGCTTAATATATACTAAGACAAAATAAATAACTAAGACAAACCAGCAACTAATAAATTAAAAGACATTTCTTTTGCACCACAAAGTTAAGGAGAAATACACCTATTTCAGGCGAAACAAATATTCTTTAATGATTGTTTTATCCTTTGTGGATTAATTAAATCATTTAGTTTATTATACGACATCAGGACTCTATAATTTCGTACTTCACGCCACTGTCATCTTTTATATAGTGCATCAGCATACGGTGAGGAAGGCAAAGGAAAAAAGCACATAATTGGCCATCTACAGTGTAAACGTAATTTTGCTATAGTCGTTAATCCCTTTGCAATATGTAAATAAGTATGGAAAACAGCCAAAGAAACCATGTGATTCTGACGACATATAAAAGGAATCGCAAAATTATGAGATACTGAATTTTAAAGACTTAATCAGCGACATTATACGGCGCTCCCCACATTATTTTTAGAGCGGTTCATGTCTAAAAAACTGGAGACATTATAAGACCGCACAAAGTACTGAGCAATGAAAATTAAATTATACACTCCCCAATATTATACAGACCAAGCTGGAGATTAGTGAAATATTTTGAACACTGATTTTCCAACAAAATTCACGGTTCTACTTTTGCTCATTTATCTCATTCCGCCTTAAAAAGTTGAAAATCCCAATGACGTGTTAGCAACCACGGTTCACTCAGAATGAACAAAACTTCTCTATATACAACGCATAATGTATTACAACAAAAGGAAGACGAGATAATCTATGATTACAAAACAAACATTATATGATACACTATTTTCACATTCCACAATAAAAAGAACTTCAGTAAAAACAATTTTCTTAATTACAACAAATGATAAACAAATAACATATTATTTAATTCGCTTAAACAATAAATGGTATTCACAGCTATAGAACTGAAATAATAGGAAAATGGAAGTCTAATATAGCAGTGAGTAAGGGCTGTGCTTGTAATGCAAATGCAATACAATACTGATTATTCAAATATGACTGCAAGTCAAGAAAAAACTGAGACAAAACAGACCCATCAATTCCTTACAGATGATTACAATTTCAAAAAACGAGAGAGGAGGGAACATCAAAACAAAATTGTAAGGAAAAAGGGAACAAGAATTTGTACGTCAAAAAAAGCATAAAGAAATCAATATTTGAAATATTATGGACTTGAAATTTGCAATTCACCCATAAAATATAGAAGGGTTCATCCATACCGCACTGATGACAAATGAAAATAGCAGTAGCCACTGAACATAACAATAACTACAGTTTACAAAGCCTTTCTAGGTACCTGAGTAGAAACAAGTACTCGATGCCAATGCACAAATCAAGCAGAGGAAAAAGTATACACAGAAATGCAACTGACCAAACATTAGTCATAGCTGAAAAATAATGATCTGATATAAGCCGACGAATACGAATACATAAATTAAAACTAATTCATTATATTTAAAAGAGTGATAACAAGATAAAGGATGAACAGAGATGGATGATATAATAAACGCTTTTTTTCACCCTTAAAATTGGTAACGAAGTCGGCGAAATGAAGTTATCAAAAAAGCGATTCGGACACTTCAGCACATTTTAACGAATTATCCATTTCGAACAATGAAACTGTTAGCACTTTGATATCAATGATTACATAAACCGGAAAAACAGAACAAGTATACCAATTGTGTCGACGAGGTAGAAACTATATATGTGAGCGTATATTCAAAAAACACAGTTGATAACCCGGTGATACCACATCAAATTGCTGAAAAAAGGAAGATTCATATATGACAGTTTCCAAATCAACAATTAAATACCTAGAATCTGATTGTAAACAGAAGCTGCCTATAATCACAAACGTTACCCTAACACGGATGACTTACAGCTGTTATAAATTTCAGCCTCTACGGGGTCCAAAAGCATGCACTTCACATGAACATTGATCAGGTTGACTGCAAGATGGAGTAGGCGTCGGTGGTGGTGGCGGTAGAGGAATATCTGAATGAACATCAGCAGAGAGGTCGCATCTCAATCTTGGTATCTCTGGAAAACACAGGCGTACGATGAGAAACGAAAAAAGAAAAACATCAAACACGTTATGATACAATTAAATGAATCTTTTACAAGCGCGCAACTCTTCAATTTAGCACTGACCTGAATTCTTGATAGGAAGAGGAGGAGGAGGCGGTGGAGGTGGTGGAGGAGCAGCTGGTGGAGATACAGATGAACTGTACTTACCAGCGTACCTTTCACCACAGCCCAATACTAGGCGTAATCGCTCTTCGAGTGGGAGTCTCTTGTCTTTATTGGAAGCCACGGTTGACGGCAGTTCTCTTCGCCATGTTGATGAAAACGAGGATGCAAATGAAACTGGTCCTTCCTGGAATTTTCATAAATTAAAACGTCAAAATCCGCCCATCTTCAGAACGAAAGTGGACGGATTTTGACAAAATATTATGAAAAATGAGTCCAGCATATTATAAAATATATAAATAAATGTGTGAGCATCTTGGAATTCAAATTACTTAATGAAAAGTGATATGGGGCTGTACCAGAGTGCTCGGAATTGCTAGAAAGAGATATTTTTTGCCATAACACTTAATGCAAATTTTTAAAATAAAGCATTCCATGTTTTGACTACCGTTAAAGCATAGAAGTAGAGGAAGAAGTTGTAGAAAAATCAAGGTCTAGTAGTAAAAAGAACAAAGACGATGATAACACGAAAAACAAACAGTTTCTATATCAGTAAGACAGCAACTCCAGATGTATCAAAGCAAGGTCAATAAGCAACGGTTTTATAAACACAAAAAAAATGTCAGATGCAGTCAGTTTAAACGAGTCTGGGAAACTGCAAAAAATCTCCAGAAAACGGGAATCCAGTAATTTTCTTTCATGCCTTCACGAACAGATTTAGACTCTGAATTCCCAGTTTGTCTAAAAAATGACATTTTCAGGAATAAGTGAATTTTTCAAAACAAAATTCCACATCCTTTAACGATGAGCGATGACCCATTTTAACTGAAATAACAGTTAAAGAAAAATATAGAAAAAGTAGACAGAATGTGTTGAATAGTTAATAAGACAAAGTATTATTCAATTCACAGAGTACAAATGCCATTTTTCTGTATTAATTTCGAATGCAGGATGCCTTATTCTAAAGTATTACTCACCTCAAAGCACTGTCCTGGTGAGGTATGCGAAGCATTCTTCCGCACTAAGGAAGAAAGTGACAAACCATCAGGATTAGAGGTTACTGTATTTGAAGATGTCGTTCGTCGATAAATGCGACGTTTCAGGTCATCAATTGAAAGCGTTGGAGTTGCGCGTAACTGTACAGGATCAGGAAGAGCACCAAGACGAAGTGAAGTGCGTTTTCCAATACCACTAGCAGTCATTAATGGAATGAAAGAACGGGATAATGGCATCTGTTTATACTCATTGTCTTCTGTTGTCTTTTCGATAGCAATTGCAGGTGTTCTGTAGAATTATTTGCATTAACTTATGTGCACGGAAAACCCTTTAACATCTCACTACAACATCGATATGTAAAGTTCAATCTGTGGAAAAAAAGCTAACAGAAAAAAAAAATACCCAGGTCTTGAGAAACACTGAACATACAAGAGCGCAAGGTTGGGCGTATAGGAGGTAATGACAGAGATATCATGTCTAATAGAAGACAATTTATACTTCCCAGCATTTAAAAATAAAACAAAAAAATGCACAAACACAGTCGGTGAAAGTAGTAAAGAGTGATTCGTACACATACAAAGACAACTGAAAAACTTATTTCTTTGAAAAACAATCGCTATAACTAATAGTTGTTAACCGTTCAAAGTTTATTATTTCTTACTGTAAAAGAATTTACTTCTCTGAATCGGCAGTAGTTTTTGAGCTCTTCCTTCTTTTATATTCATCCAGTGACATCTTTTTCTTAGGAGCTTCAGCAACCTTCATTTGATTTTTGCCACATTCAGAATGCAAAGAAGTTAAAGGGAGCTGAACTGCCTTCAACTTTTGGAAATCCAACGAAAAATCCGATGGTTTACAAGTGGCCTCAATTTCAACCATCTTACGGAACAAAGCACGAATTTGTTCTGTAATAAATCGAACAGATATCTTCAAAATAAAGAAAAAAACAAAAATAGAATTATGCTAAGACTCATAATTCCACCAAACAATTGCAATGCTAAACCTGCTACCGTGGTAACCAATGAAATGCGGGAACCAATTTTTGTAAATTGAAGTACACAAATAATTTGCCTTGTTTAAGAGCAAACGACGAATCAGTACAGTCGAGCTTTGAGCCGTATAATTCTTTTCCTGGCACATCTGAATCACTTTTGTTATTTATACCATGACTTTCACGTCTTCTTTTCGGCAGTGGCTCTACCTAAAAAATCATTCCTTATGAAATTTTAAAAAAAGGAGTGAAGTTATAACAAAACGCTGACCTCGTATTTTATATGCTTCTCATTGGTAAAGCAAGTAGCCATGCCGCTGTCCTCAATGGGATCTGTGTTTTGAATTTCTCGCTTTGCACATAGCAAAGAACTTTTGCAACTCACAGTGGTATTATTAGTGGACACATCCAATTCTCGCCTTTCTACCATTCCAATCACATCTGTGTTTGAAATGCAAGACATTCTCATGTGATTCTAAACTTGCAAAAGCCAATTTGTATGTCTCATGCTAAGCAAAAGCTTATCCCTTGCTTCGATGCTCTAATTTCCACTAAAGTAGCAAAAATAAAATTTAAAACAGCAAGAAAACTTTTCTTTTCTTTTAAATGAACCTACTATATATTGCAGTCATTGGAAATACGGTCTTCTGAAATTCATATGACAAATTTTAAAAACATTGCTCGCATCATATAAACTAGTTGACAAAGGAGAAAACTGGTAAAAACAAGCTCTTAAGATTTCTTATGATTAAAAATATAAAGAAAAAAAAAAGTCTAACATGAGCATATTTTCATACCTTCCACGCTTTCGTTCATTTTGGATTCTGAGTTTAGTTCAGTGATGAAGCTTTGAGCACGAGGGGAAAAAGAGATTGCCTTTCTAACCAAATCATTGTTTAAACCTGAAGTGAAACACGGCATATAAAAACAAATCAATAAGAAAAAGTGCCATATGCGAGACATACGACGATCATTTTTCTTAATAGCTGTTAAAAACACGCCAATAATAACTGCAAAATTAACGGTTTTATCTCATCAGGAGTTGGCAGCTTAACTACAACAGTGTAAGTCAATAGAGCTATTAGTATGTAATTCTGGTCAACACATAATATCGGATTAAATAATGGAGTAAACAAACCTTGCTCTGCTTCAGACTTCTCTCGCCATTTTGCACCTTCGCTCATCGTACGAATTCGTTTCAGCGCTGCCGTTGAAGAGCATTCAGAGCTTGCTACACGACGTCGGCCTTTAGCATTTTTAGCCTTTTTTGTGCTACTCCTAAATAATCTTTCCAATCAAACAACCACTTTGGACACTGAATAATACAAGCACCAATTTCATACAAAACTCACTGGTACCGCTGTCTGCTTCTTGAGTTGCTCCCATCATTTGCACTATCCGTAACCTTCGCAACTTTTGCAAAATCCAGCAATGGGTTATTAGCGGATGAGGCACGACAGCGCGTGCCTCCGGTATTTCCAGATCCGCGTGCAGAGACTACATGTTGCTGACGCCTTGCCTCACGCTGCTGCATACGTTCAAACAGCGCAAGCTCTTGTAATACTTTGCGTTCTTCTCGAGACTGGAATAATTAAAGAAATAAGGCGAAAACTTTTGAACAAGTTCAACACACTAAAGAATCAACAGCGTACATAAACCACAAACTATATCATCACTTTAAAGACATTCATATGACACAAGCCATAAAAACTTGCCATCGCTTTATTGCGCTCCTCGGGAAGCATATAATTTACAGCTTCAATTTCCTCCAGCAAATCGCTTCTTTTACTATGCATCTTTATTGCTGAACTATCCAAAGTAAGTAAGTCTTCATTTCCATCAGTTTCCCCTGCCCAATTAACTACATTAGCAACTCTTGCACTAATAGATCTCCGTTTCTTTCTGGGTCTCCCAACATTCTTCGCAACAACCGGTCCTGCCTCTACTGCACTTGATTTTTGCACATTTTCAATCCCTTCATTAGCATCTGCATGTGCTCGCAATTTTTCCGTGATAAATTTACCCGATTCCATGAACTGTCCTTCGCACTCTTTACTTGACCCAACTTGCCGCTTTTCCTTATACTGTTCCTGGAAAATAATTGCATCAATTGTCTTTAAGGAACTTCAAACATTCTTAACAAGATTGTACAATCAAAATAAGAGAAATACCTCTACTTTCAAACTCGTTTTGTCACTAAATAAGCAAGTTTCTTTTTTTAGTGAGTTGTCGACATTCGCCATGCCCTTGCTGACACCAATACTTTCACTGGAATAAAAACTTTCATTAAAAAAAAAAATCAATAAGTTAAATTTAACAAAATGAATTTGCATTCAAAAATCAATTTATGACTGTAAAATAATTTTGCTTAGTAAATTAACAACAAATTTTATAATGGAACAAAACCGTTTCCGGTATAATAACAGAATTTTCGCACTCATTTGTGTATGCATCTTGTCGTATTTCCATAGTTCTATAATTAGCTGCTCCACGACAGCGTAATTTGATGCCACCTTTTCTCCTGTATAATGTAGTGCTGGATATCTTTGGTCGCTTTTTTCGAGCTTTTCGTGAAGAACCATTTACAGTAGTTCGAGTATGGAGCTGTCTGTAAAGAAAATCAGTATAATTGGTTCTCATAATTATCCGTCATTCAACAAACAGACTCATATTAAGTCTACATTTCTGATATATGAATCATTCACATAGCATCTTCCAGCAACTTATGAAATAATGTTTTTAAAAAGCTCATTAGCAAAGGACGCACATTTCTACAGAGCTCTCTGGTAATACATCCTTATTAATTGTATTCTCATCTTCTGTAGTAGGTGTTACAGCCGTTGCTGTTTCGACCATTGTATTAACTTCACCAATATAATCAGATGCAGTCACTCTGGATGAAAATGTTACAGAAGAATATCGAGATCCACTTGTAGTATTTCTAGACTTCATAAATGCCCGAACTTTTCCGACTTCTACATCCATATATTGCTTTTCGGTATGATCTTCTGAGGTAGTATCAAAATTTATCATTGGATTCGAAGTTGTGTTTAAAGCCTGCAGAATTCAATTTCATGCGCATCCGATTAATCACGAATAAAACAATAGTCAGAAACTAAAGTGCCAGATTTTGCGAGCATTATTCATAGCTTATAAAACAAGTTTAGAACTGCACAGCAATAAATCGAATATAATGACCAAGAAAAATCAGTGACAAAGGAACCAAAAATTCTTGTTGATAAGCAGCACTGGCGTAATTAAATTGAAATTAAAGTGATTAAACAACACTGTAGTGAAACACTGAAGCACTTTGTGAAGCGCCTGATTTTTAAACGATATAGCCTATAGCTCTGAAAGGGCAAACAACGAACATTTTTAAATATCTCTTCTGTTACTTAATGCACCAACCTTATCGCTAATTGAATTTTGTTTTTGTTTAAGCATTCGATTAAAGTTGCGGACTAAGCAATCCACATTGCCATCATGCTCGTCGTCTGCTGAACAAGCGCAAATTAGCTTCGTCTTTGACAAATAGTAATCGTCATCAAATGGAACAGTAATCTAAACCAAACCAAATATAATAGCCAACACGTATCAACGTAAATGTCACCCGAAATAATTCAAGATCCGATTTTCTTTGTCCAAAGTATTTCCACTCCACAGTTTATGTAAAAAAATTTATGCAAAATAGAAGCACATCACTTTATCCCATGAAAAAAGTAAAAACTACTTGAAAATGAAATCAAAGGTTCATAACTAAAGATCATAAGTGACAACCTCTTCACCACGTTCGATATTCCCAACAGCAATACCGATAATATGCAATTTGCCGTTCAAAAAGAAATGTTGCATTTTGATATTTGGTCGGCAAGATGCACGAGCAAACCGAGCTTTCGAACCGAAGCGACGAGCGTCAATACAAATGGGTATAGGATCTTTGCTTTCCTCAACTACTAGGTGACTAAAAGTGGATAATGCGTAAAATTTTCAGATTTAACCAGCTACTACACATATATTGGAAAAAGAAAAAGAAAAAAAACCAAAAAACTACATTTGTATCATTTCTAATTCTCGTTCAGCTCACTGACATTTCTATCGGAAACTATATCAGACTAGTAACTGACCTACCTTTCGTGACCTCATCATCGAACATACAAATTATCAATAAGACGATAATTTTAAATACGACTGTACAAGACAGAATAATCTAACCTATACAAAGTGACAAAAGGTATGACTACTCCCGGCTCTTCTCGACCATGACATTCACAGGGAAGCGATACACGCCCGCAAATATATATTACCGGCTCATCAGCATGGTATAGCCGTGTCGAAACCAATCCCATAGACCACTGTGTGACATACATAACACTTACACCCTCACCATTTCGCAACGCTTCCAGTAATGCAGGATCACCCTGAAGCTCTTCATTCACAATGACTCATTTCAACAAAAATATTCAACCAAATTTCACGAAACAAAGATGTTAAGACTACTTTAAAAATAGAAATATACCAACTGAGAAAATGATAAGTTCTACCGTATCTTCGTGTCTGCGTGAAAATGCCATGACAGATCTCGTATATTCATATTTGAAACATTCGATATAATCTTTCGATGAATTCTTTTTTACTTGTCTTATCTTCGTTCCTTCCTAAGAATCCTATGGATGATACAAATTTTTATAAACCGAGTTATACTTCACAAACCTTAGCCTAACCAAAACCTTAGTTCATTTTATATTTTAGACCCATAACTTCCAACATTCCGTTCAACCTTATATGCACTTGGACAAGTAACTACAATTGTGTTATAAATTATAACTTCATTAGTTTTAACTAATAATGCATCCCAAACCCACAGATTTTTCCTGAATTCTCTTTTTAAAGCGCCCTTTAGCTCTTTGACGACGTTTTTTTTCCTTTTCTTTGCGATATCGAGCAAGTATTTTTAACTGCATCTCCCGTGCCTGAGTTTTGCTAAGTTTCAACAAACGTGGATTGCATTCTTCACACTGATAAGTATCTGGTACTCGACGTCGATCAATACCCACACATTTGCCGTGTTGCCATACACTGAAACATCAAGTTTTTGTAATGCCTTACTTCCCAGATTAGACTAGCAATCTATCATTCGTTATACGTATATAATCATAGATTTTTTTCAGAAATAGGAGAAATTTGTTAAAAATATAATTTGAAAAACTTCGTTTTCGAAATCACAGATAATCAAAGCAGATTTTTTATAAAAGTTACTTGCACACATCACACTGTATCATGAATTCATCGTTATGATTCAAACCACAGTAACAACGTGTAGTGTATTCCTCTTCCCAGTCGTCTTCACTGTTGCTGTTTGATGATGAATCTACACCCGTAGTTACTATGGTGGTTCGAAAACCTTCATCTTCTGTTTCTTTTTCATCAACATAATCTGTAAAATCAGTAAACGAAACACAACATCTAACCGAAGAGTTTACATTATTAATATTTAGACTTCATAACTATAAAAAATTCATCAAGTGTATAAAGCAATCAGTTTAACCACACCATTCACACTCGTCTCCTCCTCAGCTCCGCTAATTGATGAACGCGTTGCAACAGAAATACGCTGCTCCACAACCTCATTACATACTTCGTTAAATACAGGTCCTTCTCTACTCAAGATATCTTCAACTGAGGGAGTTCCATGATCAAATCTTTTCAAAGTAACTGAAAAAACAAACTAAATCAAAAAATCACGGTTTCAGATTCACAGCCTATCACAATGCGTACATCGCTGGTTCCTCTAGTTCAAAAAATAAAATTCTGACAAAGTGCTATGATCCACTGTATACCGATGTAGGCTGAAGAAATATAACTCAAAAAATTAAATACCTTCACCGTCAGATGCTGTTTGGATATCATCACTTTCTGTTCTGTTTTTGGACGGCAACACGGGGGTCTCTACCTCAACCGATGTTGAATGCTGTGAATCAAACCCATGATTTTGATTAAATGCGACATGTCCCGGTGATACTGATTTCTGTCGATAGAAAGTAAAACCCTGCATTTTACAACGAACAGATGAGAAAAATAAGGAAAAACTATTGCAGAATGAAATTAAATGAAGAACGACATCGTGAATTTTGATAAATGTAGATAACACAAACAATGTATTTTCCCAATTAAGATAGCTCGAGTCGTCCTGAAGGATGAAAACGCTTATGTTCCGCAAAAAGAAGATTTTAAACCAATGAAAATATAAATTTCAAATCATTTTATCCAGTAATCTTATAGCCGTAAAGATCTTTATAATCCTTTAGAGAGATTGCTTACTGAAACATTTATTACAGACTGCTGACCGAAGCGATCCATTTCTTTCATTTTCTTGGAGCTGTCGGATGCAGAGGTTTCGGAATGACAGAGTCTGGACTATAAATGATAAAATAATCCAAGTTTCGAAAGTCAAATAAATCATCTTGTGAAAAAAAAAAAATCGAAACCTGTCGTATTTGGAGCTCATCGAGTTGTCGAGTAAAAAGATGACGAGAATTAGCGACGAATGATTCCTATACGAAAAAAGATGTAACAACCTAATGCTTCTGAAATTTATGCAATTCCAAAAAAAAGAAAAAAAAAAACCTTCTCTGACTTTCGATAATGCTCCTCAACATATTTTCCGATGTCTTGCTGCAAACGATGAGAAAGGACTGTAGAAGTTTGAGCGGTTTGTTGAAGATCATGCATTCTGCTATCGCTATTGACATAAACTGATTCACGAGAATCACTAGAAAGATGGCTCTGAAAAAAGGTCAGCCTTTCCAATCTAAATTGTAGTGAAAAGCCCCGAAAAACTAAGCTTACAGACATAATACAGGAGACTAACTCGAAAAAAGCATAGTAAAATAATTTATTTAATCTATAATGTGAAACTATGAAATCCCTTCCCAAACAAGAAATTTAGTTCGACAACACAATGGATTTTTTAGATTCGTCGTTTAAACAACTTATGACTTTATGTATAAGGAATTATAAAGCAGAAAGGATTACAACTGTCATAGATAAGTAGAACAGAATATACAAATGTTACACCCACAATAATATGTTGTCGTTAAACTAGAAGGTTTGACACGCTAATTGTACAACTACCTGTGAAAATGCTTTCTGCTCTTCTTCTTTACAATGAACTGCTGAATTATGAAGACTTTCTGGTGATAATTTTTCATCCACAACCATACTTATTGCCAAATCATTTGGAACTGCACGCTGCAAACAGTAAGAGTTCAGTCCCGCATTAAGTAATTACTAAACAGCTGAGCATAAAAACTAACATCATCTCTAAAGCACACTTGGGAGGCAAAATACTCATTATGGAACACTTTTAAAATAGTTTTGAAAGCAATGGAAGGATTTCGGGAGTTCATGAAACTTTATATACAACAAAATTTCCTGTATTTGTAGGATTTTTAGGGATTTTGCAAAAAAAAAACTCGAAAAATAAAGTATAAATTCAACCTGCTGAGCAGAATGCTGAAGACGAGGGACATGACAAGGTTCAAGAGGCTCTGCCATAATATACTGCTGCTTGACAATTCCACTGCTACGAATCACATTTTTCGGAAGATGTTGTCCAGAAGCAGTAAAAACGTTAGACGGCTGCTTTTCAGCGTGAAGAGCATTGTCTACCTGAATAACTTTAGTCAGTATACGCTATTCATTATTACGGTCAGTAGAATTCACATAAAACACTAATACTATATCAGGAAGAAATCCAAATATCAGTGTCAAGTTAACCTGCTGATCACTGGCAACAAGTTTTTGTATTAACAGCTCTGTTCCTTTATCTGGTTGACGTGATGCTCGCGCTATAACAAATCCGTTTAAATTCTGTGTTTACATTGATTTAAAAGCACATCGTATTAACATAGCACCAAACGAACTGAACAAAACGTTTTGATTTCCAAGAGAAACTAACCCTCTGGACGAGTAAAAAACCAGGCTCAAAATATATTCATGCGATTATAATTCGGCTTCCATAAAAATTAATTTCTCTAGCTAAAAATATCACCTCGGTTTCGGACAACGGGACGAGGCCGTCGAGATGGTACGAGGAACGGCGCCAAACCGACACTCATGTCCGTGGCATGTGTTTCAGAATTTGCACCTGTTGCATTAACTGCCATTGCATAAGCAGGCATTGTTGCCGAAACTGATTTACTAGCAGGAATTATCTGACGTATGCTTTGATGGCAAGTTGATAACACAGGATTTGGAGGATGTCTGAACATATGACTAGTGTTGTTTATTGACTTTCGAATGTTGTGCAAGATTAAATTATGAAATTTATTATCAGTATTCCCCAAACTGAAAAAAAAAAAAAAAAAATTGTAAAACGAAAAGAATGCAATTCCAGCTACTTACGCTGGTCGAAGAACTCTTTTGTTCGACGATGTTGATGTTGCAAATGTTCCACCGGAACCGACAAAGTGACGTGAGCGGAACAATATATCACTATGACTATTAGCCGATATTTGAGTTACTCCTAAACTTCAAAAATACCGCACGCGACAATTTTCGACTCAAATTATATAAAATATTTTAATTTGCACAACATATAAAAACATGTCATCTATCAAACATTGTTTTACGACTAAAATATCCATACTGTCATAAAGATCACGAAACATCAAATACACAGGGATAGTAAAAAGTTGAAATGAAAAATGTTATTGGCCTCCTAATTACAATTAACAGATATCTTCAGAAGTTCGAATAACGACATTTATTTCAAAACACTTTCTAGCAAACTTTAATTCCAAGAATATAGGTTTTTGAACAATCCATAAAACGAAAACCTACCTCGACGATGTATTCGGTAATTCTGAGTAGCAGTGATCGAGGTTTGTCGGGGAAATATCTGTCCAGTAGAAGCTGGTAACCTTAATGGAAATAATCAAATCACTAAGAGAGACAACAGTAAAGAAATAGAATCAAAGTATCTGTACTTTTTGTGTTAATTAAAGGAGTAATTTACTTATTATGTAAGGACAATAAAAAGTAATAATTAAAAAATGAAATTAGTGGAAAGACAAGAATCTCTCATATTCTCCATTTGCAAAAATTTGCCTTCGCATTTGACTCGTTCGACATCCACCCATGCCACCAGAATAGATTCTACAAGATGTACGTGAATCCATCCCCGAAATCTTTTGATAATGCGTCCCACTGTTGTGCGATCTAAATGAATGATACAGTTCATATTAATCAGTATCAGACCAATACAAATAAGGAAGGACGGTTCATTATTAATGAACAAATCTATTCAAAAAACTTTTAATCCAAAGCACGATCTCTACATGAAACTAAAATCTAATTTACTGACTTCGAAAAAATAATGAAAATGCTTTACCTTGAAAAGTGTCCCAAGTTTGTATCACGAAAGTGATGACCCGCAGGGACTTTACTGATTTCATTTCCTAAATGAAGTGTCATCAGTGAAACATAATCAACTACACAGTGTTAACAGGCCTGCTGCCTGAGAAATCCGTGATAAGTATGGAAAAAAATATATACCGATATAAGAAGCAAGTCCACCAATGATAGGAAATTTCTCTCCATTTTCCCCATCATTTTTCTGTGCATTTCCAGATCGTCTTCCATAATTATGATCCTGTTTGTATGCTTTAGATAATCATCTTTCTATAGACTGTTATTTGTAATGGACTAATAAGAATTTCAATAAAAATAAAAAACTTTTTATAAATACGAATACGAAACCAACAACGACATTACAATATGTCCCTAGTGTTCAATTTCATGTCGAGCATATTTATTCAGTTTTTATTTTTAATTCATCCTATCGACTGATAACGATTGGGACAACACAGTTGTTCCGCTCGAATCACTCATGTAGCACAAAATATAAATCAAAAAATAATACAGCACTGGAATGAAATATCTTTTAACCAGCAAAACTTTGTTATTCATAATTACTGTTATAATTCCATGGGCTTTTATTTATAGCACTCAAATAGCTGCATTCCCACCTGATATGATAAACCAATAACTGCATCTTCAACAATACTAACGCTTTCTTTTGAATGGCGTTCGTCGTCAACAATAATTTTTTTCAGTAAAAAACCATCCCCGTCTCCACTTATATTCCTGAAAGAGTGATCAATCAAATTTTTATAGAATTTAATGTTATATAAACCTTTATAGCGCTGAATGGCGGCGCAAATTAAGAATAATTTTCACTGATTATTGAATATAAGATGAGAAAAAAAAAATACAAGCCAAATATTCATGAGGACAAAATTATAATAAAAAGTGATACAGAAAAAGTCCTCGGATAAATAAATAGTAATAAAGAAAATCACTAATTTATTACTGTGTATAACTTGAAAAAACCGAAACTGAGAGAATCAATGATATAGCACACTAGAGATATGATAAGAAAAACTAGATCAGTCCGAATATTTTAATCTTATCAGTAAACGGAAAAAGAAAACAGCGAGCGACATGTAAAAATATTTGAGTTAGAATGAATCATTAAGGACTTTGTGAATATTAAAGAAACTCATGCATATCATATCAGAAGAAAGCTTTATAACATGTAAAAACATTCGAATTAGAAGTTAGGATTTGAAGCACGTAAATCCACCAGTACAAGAAACATGGCAACCAATAATGGACACTGTAAAAACACTAACTTATTGTCCGCAGATGTTTGTAAAGCCTGCTGCGGTATCCCTAAGTCTCGAGTCGTCGTCTGTTTGTTACTCGAAGAATCCTTATTATCTAAAGATTATGAAGTTGAATATTTCGACTGACAAACACAATAGTAGTTAAGATCAGAAAGAATACGACCCACCAGTTTCCCATTCCTCCTCTGTATGATGATGTTCTCCCACCTGCGCTTCCTCTTCCTTGCAGGTATCAGACATGGATACGTTTCCCAATACAATTTACTCACGGACCTCTAATTCTAAATTTTATATGAAAATTGTGGTCAAAATCTCAATAGTAGTTTGCAATTCCACCAAAATATAACAAAAATCGCCATCTGAAGATAAACATCCCGAACTGAAATAAAATTGTAAAAGATTAAAATAAACTTATAAAGTCTAAAACTTCAGAACCATGGAACGCAGTTTATTTAAGCAACACAGTTCTCCAGGACAGTAATTCATCAGAAAAACCACCCCCTGCACCCTTTCCCCTGCTCATCATCTAACAGGACATACCAACAATACACAAAAAACTTATCAACATCAGTGCTTCTGGCATCCCGCCAAAGACGACAGTATGTTTCTGTTTAGGACCTGACATGTGTAATCCTACAGCTTCTGTTGAAATCGATGGAGCAAGGCGAATCACTACGTTCATGATACGCTTATGTGCTGCATTAACTATTCGTGTCATCATAGTACATTTGAGGACAGGTTACTGAGTCCAGAATATGATGCAGTCAGTGAAGATGAAAATTATGTTTTGTAAAATAAACACAAACAAGGATCATTTCCACGACTGAACTTATAAATGATAATGAGGAACTCGAACCAAGCGGGGTTTAATGTTCTTCTGTGATCTTCCACTATTGAATTTACTTAAAGGAAGCGATGTGCAATTTAGAAAGTTACAACTTTGCAATCAATGGAAATTATGCTTGCTGGCAATTCGGCCAAAGAATTGCATTATCAACGATTTGACGGAATCTACTTTTTTCAGTTTTTCTGAAAGAATGATCTAAAGAGTAAGTGGCCAAAGTGCAAAAAAATACTTGCAGGGCTGACATCCTGAACCTTTGTGAATATGCTAACCTTAATCGTTCTACGTCCTTTACCTTGATAATTTAAAACAATTCAAACTGAAGTTCTTCATTACTTCTATAATACTCTTTCCTATAAGTCGACGAATCAGTTCTCCCATATCCAGCTTTGTATTGTTTGTGTTATCTCAAAATTTTTCATTGCTAATTAGAATACGTTATTCGAACTTCGAAGTGAACATAACCGGCAAAACGAAATCTTTTTTTTTTTTTTTGGCCATCAGACCCGCTTATCTTGATGTATTATGAGGAACCTTAAGCATGAGAGATAATATATTTGAAAAAATTGGTAAATTAGATAACAGAATAATACACCGTAGTGTTTAACCAAACCAGAAAATACCACTTCCTTTTTTCTTTTCTAAATCAGCTTTTGGTCCAACAAGAAACAAATAATACATTGTGTTGCGTCCTTAACTCTTATATTAAAAATTTATCAAATGGAGGTTTCTTTTTTGTAATAAAAAAATTAAAGCCGTCTTTCGCATGCTAATCTTTTTGAGGATGATAAAAGAAAAGTCAGAATAAGCCTCTCTTCAATAAATTTTAACATCTTTGGAAGCTTTAAAGAGACTTCGATTTATGAAAATATATTGTCAAAAGCAATGATTTACCCAAGAATTCTCGAAAATCCAAAGCAACTGAATGAACAAACTGCGCAAAGCTTCCACTTGCAAAATAATGAGCTGGAAGGTGATGCGTAATCTGAAATAGCTTGTGCAGTCTATAACAAAAATTTGAATATCGATCAAGAGTAGTTGAACGGCAAAAGCTTCTGATTAAGTGAGCGGACGTCAGCTTTTCCCTACTGTGTCTTACAGGTTTACACTTGTAGTATTCTTGGCGGCCTTACTTCCAGAAATTTCTCAGTAATCGATTTCATATTCTTGGATTGCAGTACTCAGTTGTTAAATGCGAATTTCACGATGATACTTTTGCATTCCTCCTCCCTTTTCCCTCGATTCTTAACCTGGAATCGACACAGAGTACCTATCATTTTAGTCTTAAACTTTTTGCTTCGTTTCACAATTCCCAACATTTTCATTTTAAGCAAGTTGGTTAAAAAGATACCTACGTTTCACGATGGATGCCACAGGAAATTAACTTCTGTTTGCATTCTTAATAACATATACTAAGTAAAAATAATACAATACTAATCTATTTCACATTTATCGTGTTCTCCCTATTAATACATTCGGATACTAAATTTCAGAGCAGTCAGTACTTGGCTTTATTTGTTATAGCATTTCAGCATGCTGTGATTACACAGAACAGCATTCTTTAACGCCGAAGAACAGAATGAGTAGAAGCATGAAAAGAAAAAAAATATGTGCAATATTCGTATTCATATTCACATAAAAACAATTCATATAAATGCACACATTGAATTTCTTGAAGCATACGAATTAATTTAAAAGTTACTGATTTAGAAATTAGGATTGAATAGAAGATGCATGTAGGAACTTCGCCAGAACTGTCACGGATCTTGAAAATGCCGATTATCTCATATAATTTACTTATAAGAAGGTCACTTTCACCACCAACTATTTGAAAACTGCAGCATATGCCTTTAATGATAGTCCATCATGTTGTTTTGATGTTGCTTTCACAGAGACGGAAACAACAATTAACTGGTATATGTATATTTCATTTGAAATTAAAGCTTTCACAAGCCTCACCGGCAGTGTGATCTATATATGGTGTAAGGATCAAATGAAGTGTTTTAGCTGATTATCACTTTTTATATTTATATGTTTATTGCATTTCCTATATTTTGGTGGTTTAAAGATTCGCTCTTTTGGAACTTTAAAATCTTGACTACCCGTAATGTCCCATCCGTATGCTTCGGGTCACACACTTTTCAGAAGATATGTTGAAATCACTCCACGTAAACTTTCCAGTTGATAATTTAAGGGTCGTCCATGCTGGTGTTGGTTATTTTCGTTTACTCGTATACACTACCTTCCTTGTGTAGCCTAATGTTCGCCTAACTAAGCTCTTTTAGCATGCTTTACGCCCAGTGATACATAGAATGGATCTTTGCTAAGAGGCCTAAATAACTGACCAGACTTAGTGTGAGATACATGAGAATAACCTACCTCTCAGTACCAATTAGCTCCATTTCAAGTATGGTTACATACACATATACCTTTGACGGAATATATTTGCCTTATTTCTAGGTACTGGTTCAAAATGCAAATTCTTTCTACTAATGATATCAAGATCTACAATTTAAGCGCAGGCAAGTCAGTCCCAGAGTGGATTACAGATCGAAAAAGGCGAAAACTGGAACAAAAAGATATAGGTTTGAATGCCGGAAAACTTTGTAAACTTTTTGCGTTTTCACATATATAAAGTGGCCACCAAAGTTTGGCCATCTAATTTTTTGCAGATTTGAGGAGAAGGATACAACTGATACAAGATTTTGACATGCCCGACATCAGCAATACTGTCACGGTATCTCCTGATGGACGCTATATATTTGCTACGGGTATGACGATTCAATCTTTATAATATTGTTCTTTCAATTTACTTCTTACATATTGATGGTGTAAGTGACCTTATTATTTAGGAATAGCGGAATGTTGAGTTCAACTACCACTTTTCAGTTGCACACGAAACTTAAACTACTGAGAACAATATTTTTCTTGTTAGTCAACATGCCGTTTATATTTTTAGGTACCTACAGACCTCTTCTTAAGTGTTTTGATGTAAGTGATCTGTCGCTGAAGTTTTCGCGCGGTCTCGACGCGGATGTTGTGAAAATGGCTGTTCTTAGTGAAGATTATTCCAAAGTAGACTACATTTTTTGATATTTTGTTGACCATAAAATGGCGGAATAAAAAGCAGGATTATCTCGTAATAATGATATGCTGGATGTGCGGCTATTTGTTCCTTTTTAACATTTTAATTTGGCAGTACTATGGGTATCATGTTAACTTTTTTAATGTTAAAACATTTTTGTGGAAGTTTGTTTCATTGAAAAGGCTTCGTAAAGTAACTATGATTACCAGATATTGTAGGTGGGTTAAAACAGTTCTTTTCTTTTAGTTCGTACTGTTGGAGGAAGAGCGATATGTCGAGGTACATGTGGCTTATGGAAGATATTTTAGGATGAGGATACCGAAATTTGGTCATGATATGGCTTTTTGTCATGAAGTAAGTGACCTCTACATTGTGGGGAATGGGTAAGTTAAACATATTTCCGTCAATATTTTTTTTAATAGTATTTTTTTTTCTAATGTCTTTTATGGGATTTAGTAAAAGTTACTCCATAGGCTACAACATTTTTTATATTCCGTAACATTATTTCTCAGTTAAATATGATATTTATTAACTGAATTTCAAAAAAAATTATTTTATTTACACTTTTCCTTCACTACATTAGTTTTCTCCAATTAAGGGATCAATGTTCGATGTAGGCCTTCTCTACGCATGATTTGAAAGAAAGCCAATATATCAAAAACACTTTTCCCTTACATTCCCTCCCAGTAAAGTTATTGATGTCCTTTTGTTTTTACTGATTCTTTAAACAGTAGGTTATAATCACGTTTGCTTTTTTAGAATGTTGGATCTACGATGATTAACTAAACAAACTCTTATAGAAATGAGGTGTTTATAGATAAAAAACTAATAATATTGAATTTCATGAAAGCTATGATAATTGCAGCAGCGAAATTTTCCGTCTAAATTTGGAAGAGGGAAAGTTTTTGGCACCTCTAATGACTTCTTCTTCGTCACTGACATGCTGTGAGTTCAACAGAGATCATCATTTGTTTATTTGTGGGACAAATGATGGTCGAATTGAAGCTTGGGACCACAGAGATGCAGATCGATGTGCCATTCTTGACTGTGCTTTACGTTTTCAAACAAATAACAGGTAATTTCAAGTTTTCCGATTTTCATCAACAACTTGCACTTTCAGCTGCACTAACTAATTGTTTATTATGATGAATAGTTCATGCTTTTCGTTTGCTTTCCACTTCTACGCAATATCAAATGTTTTCAGCAAACTGCCGACAGTGACTTCGGTGTGCTTCAAAAATGCGCTTCATCTTGGAGTCGGAACGAGTACTGGCCATGCAAGTTTTTGAATTTACTTTCCTCCTGTTATAATCAATTAGTTTCTATTTCCTTGGACCGTCTTTGCAGGTTTTACTATTTGATATCCGGTCTAACAAACCTCTGCTCATCAAGGATCATCAAACTAGTTTGCCAGTAAACAAAATTGATTTTGTGCCGGAGCACAATCTTGTGTTAAGTATGGATATGCGCTTACTGAAAATATGGGAAGGAACAGGTGGCAAACCGTTTGCAGCAATCGAACCCGGGTCTAATCTAAGCGACTTCTGTCGATATCCTGACTCTGGTGAATTATTTACATAGATGTAAACTAATAATTTTAACAGATATACACCGTTTCTGCCAATCTCCATAGCAGCTTCCTCTGATTTTATTGCACTATAGTTTTACCAAAAAAATTCTTATGCATACAATTTTCAGGACTTTTATTTTTTGCTAATGAAGCTCCTAAAATGTTGCAATATTTTGTTCCGGCTATTGGTACTGCTCCTAAATGGTGTTCATATCTTGAGACAGTCACGGAAGAATTAGAAGAAACGGAACAGCCTACAGGTATATATACAATTGTCATTCCATGTAACCTCTCCTCATGTTTTTTTTTTTTTTTTGTGATTTCTGACATTGAAATTCTTTTTTTTTTCTTTTACTTGCTTTTGTGGCAGATCTGCAGAGTATTTTGTTTTGAAACTTTCTGTACAGCATCATTTTCATCAATTTTTATTAGTTATTATTGGTGAACTTTTTTTAGTGTATGATGATTATAAGTTTGTTACGAAAGAGCAACTTGAAGAAGTCGGTTTATTACACCTCATTGGAACTAGCCTTCTGCGTGCATATATGCATGGATATTTTATTGATACCCGATTATACAATAAAGCGAAGACATTTATTCAACCATTAGCATATGAAAATTATAAGCAGAGAAAGGTAATGTACATATAATTTCATCTCGTCATAGAGAATATATGCTTTCGAATTCCCTTCACTATTCTTTGTTGTTCTTAACAAGGCGCAGACAGATATTTTAATGTAGTGTAATTCTGCAAAATATGAGTTTGTATTTTCATTTTTTAATTTTTCTTATGTTTACAGATAATGGAGAAAATTGATGAAGAACGTTCCTTGTCAACTGCAAACAGTAAACCAGGAAAGCCGAAATTACCAGGCATAAATAAAGAACTGGCTTCAAAGTTGTTAGCTTTGACGGAGGGAATGAAAAACGCAGATGGAAGGAAAAATAAAAAGGTTTTCTTTATTAAATATGGGGAGGGAATGAATAAGCCCATTTCCAGTTTTTGAAATATCAGCTAGTGATGTACGTGTTGCTACGATATCGATATCTCCTTTAGAACAAGGATGCGGCTTCCATATTGTCAGACAAACGCTTTGGCTCTCTGTTCACAAATCCTGATTTTCAAGTTGATGAAAACAGCGAACAGTTTCAACTGCTTCTCACAGCTATGAAAAAACTGGGGGGAGAACAACAAAAACTGTCAAAAAAAGAAGGTGGTAATACAAACAGCAACAGCAACAAGGTATTTTTCCTTGCTTTTAAAACAAATTATAGATTTAATTTAATCCAACCAAGTTTGAAGTTTGAGGTATGCTTTATTTCATATAATTGGATAAACGAGAGTTGATCTCACATCCATTACTCTTGTAGGACAATTTTGTTATAATTTGATAGTCATGTTCTTTGGACGGAGAACGACAAAAATTGTCGAGAAAAGAAGGTGGTAATATATATATAACAAGGTAACTAGAGTAATTATTACTCTAGAAATTAATATTTATTTAATCAGAAATGTAGAGTACAGAAGATCTGGACATCGATGAAAGTACAAGCAGCGATAGCAGCAGGAGTAATGACGAAAGTCTTATTGAAATTGATGATGAGAGATATGAAAGAGGTGCAGCAGAAGAATTATCTGTAAGTTCATTTAATTGAAAATCTGTAATAAATAGATTGTCTGAATCAGCGTCTCTCCAGTGCTTACAGGTTAAAGTAAATTGACCGATCTTCACAATTTCTCTTTTAGATGATCAATGATAATGAAAATAGTGATGATGATGAAATGCAATCAGCAATGCTAAAGAAACCAAAAACTGTGAAGCCAAAAGGTTTCGACTTAATTGAATCAGATATCGATGAAGACATTGTACAATGCTTAAAACAGAAGGTAAGAATGGAGAAAAAATGCTGTTTCATTTTTTTGCTCAAGTTCACTCTTGTCTTTTATTTTTGTAATTTGGCAAAGCATCGAAGCATTCAGATTTTTTCTTTACTCAGAGAGACGAATGAAATAGATGATATAGCACTAAAAAATAGAACTGTGAACTAAATAGATCTTTTTAAGGTGGAAGCTGGGACGATGGATATGAAACGCAGAGATTTATTAGATATTGGCGGAGATGTTGGCGGAAGTGAACAATGCGTACCATTTGGTGGACTGCAAGTGACATTTAAAATGAAAACATGTCGGTTGGCTGCAAAAAAGGAATCTTTGGTAAAAAGAGAAAAGCAACATTTAACAGAAAGGAAAGAAGTTAGACGAGGTGCAAGGGAAATAACCAAAGTGTTGAAAAAACCTTCTGTGTGGGGAAATTGTCGGCAGAAAAGACCCCTGAAAAAGGTGGTTTGAGATTTATATGAACACTCAAATACTTGTTGCATGTAGCTCATAATTTTTTTTTTTTTCTTACAGAAAGTTGTAAATGTATTTGCAATAACTATTTGTGAATGTACTAAAACTTTTATCTTTATTTTTTAATATGTTGTTAAAGGTGTTTTGGGAACAGATGTTTCAGCATCATATACATTGGCAGCACTGCAAAGGATATGATCTATTTTACTGTAATAATTCCCATATTGTTGTGTCAGTTAAGTACAATTTACTGAAATTTTAACGATCATTATAATATGGTGAAGATTACTTAATGAGGAATGGAACAGAGTAACAGTACGGTATTGATAAATTAACTAACAGGCAATATACGGCTCAAAAAAACAAATTGAGCAAATACATTTGAAGACTAGTGGGGGAAGTGGAGGTTTAGGGGATTAATCTGCAAAACTTTTTTAGGAACCCAAAAATTTATCTTTTATAAAGTGAACAACCAAAAACCATATTCATCTCGGTGTCAGAAATTGAACATATATTAACAAAAGCTTTTGAATTGGATTGAATCCCTGAGATATGTATACATCGAAAGATAATAAAACAAGTATCAGTATCATCGGGGAGTTAGAACCAGTGTTTCTTATCTGATTCCTCGATGTTTTAGAAAGTTGCTAAGTAATGGACGGGGAAGAATGAAGATATGAGCCAAGGGGAGTATGGGATGCATGTATTTTGTGGGATACATTCAGTTTTCAAGATCTGTTGAAACATCGAAGAAATGGAGACTTTGGACTTAATGTTGCCAATCGGTTTAAGCATCAATTTCTTGCAGGACTCTGTCAATTTGTGCGACTGCTGCCAGGCTTTCTCGCCACTCGTCCTCATCCAGAACCTGCTCTAAGGCTCCTGCTTACATTTTAACTGATAAGTGATAAACAGTGTTCAGTGAGGATCTCGAAAGGGTCTCTTTCGCTTATTTTTCCTCATTTGTTAATTGAGGAAAAGTCTTATCGCGAGTATCTCTTAATGTGTAAAATATGTGGCGTTTATTTCAAAACTTGGCTGCATGGAAGCATGTCAATGCAACCACCGCTGTTTACAAGTTATCACAATAAGCCATTTTTCAATTGGTAATCTAAGTGCTTAAGCTTTTAAGAAATTATATTCCATATCATTCATAAAAGAAACACAGTGTAACCTTTGTTGCAATTCGCAAGGAGTCACGATCGGTCTGAATTGAAAGATCCTCAAAAATTCGACCACCTTCATCCGATGCAACGTACGTTATTGGACGCAGTTCACCCATTATCGCTTCACTGTGTTTATAATAAATGCAGTTTAATCACACAAAAAGCCAAATTACACATGCAGATATTCTTATAATACGTATGTTTGAAATTAAAGCAGAACAAGCTTGGACTTACATTGGATCCGTGATAGTGAAGTTATCTTTCGATGAATATTTCGAGGCGATATTTTGTTGTAATGACGATGATTCGGCAATATTGATTGGCACAATGTGACTTGAACTATTCGGCATAGTGTAGTTTGAGGTTTTTGAGGTACTCCAGTAATCAGACGAATAGACGTTGTTTACATGCGATATATCATTTGTGGCTAACGGTGTGAACCATTCCTTTCTTTTATGTTTTCGTTCTTAAACCAATTGATTTTTATTGTTTTTATTAGGTGATTTTATTGTGTCCATTAGACAGTGAATTTATACGGGCTTTCCAACACATATTCAATAATTTGTACTTTTAAAAGCTTTCCACATAAACCAAGGCCAAATACCTTTCCAGTACGACAAAAGTTTTGCGAGTTGATAATTTTTCTGTATGTATGCAATTGTTTCAGCTGTTTGTCCTCCATTATTGAGCAGTCGGGGTTCGGCACCATTTTCCAACTGAAAAAAAAAAAAAAAATCATCCTAAAGTTATCAACCACTGACAAACAGAGTGAAATTAATGAAGCCGATGGGACTCTAACATATAACTGTTCGATTATTCCCACTGCTTTCACAGCAGTGCTATCGCTCATGATGGTCAGCAAAGTCTTATAATTATGCTTACCAAAAGGAGTCTGTTTCTTAGCTAAATAATCACAACTACTATACCTTAGCAGTTCCAATATTTATTGCTTAGATATTTAAATATTTATTGCTTTATCTAAGATGTCTTACATCAAAATCACAATTGAACTCCTTGATTATGTTAAAAGACACATTTCGTAAATTACAAGATACATTTACATAATGGTTTTAAAACTAACCAAATACTGTGCAGCATCAGTGTGATTATTGATAGCTGTAAGATGAAGCGGAGTGTTACCACGGGAATCTCGCAACGCAAGTATCTGCCGTCGTCGTTTATAAGATACAGTATGAAGTAAAATATAAAGTGCAGCAACGCTCCCACTATCTAAAGGGAAAGAAAACTGCTGTGCAAGTTTCGAAAATAGATTTCCAAAAACAACATGACTGGTCAAAGTTCTGCTACATTTTCAGTCTTCAAACTATCTGGGAAAGTTTTATTACACAAAAAGAACTCTTTCCACTTCTCCACTTGAATTACTGTCGTCGAATTTACAATTCAAAGGAAAAGTATTTGAGGCTGTTAACACATAAGATTTTGTTCCTCAGTTACATAAAGAAATTTCTATAAATATTCTTCGCCTTATATTATTTTAAATAAGCTTCATTTCTGAAAAGTCTTTGGGAGATTTAACTGAAAAGTTTCTGAAGTTTTTGGAAGATTTAACTTAATTATTTTAGGCTTACATGAAGCGCAATGTATGGCATTAGCGTTATCTTTAGTTGTCCATAAAATAACATTAGCTGCAGAACGATTTACTATCCATCGAACAATATGCGCATGGCCAGCAAGGCATGCAACATGCAGCAGTGACTGTCCTTTATCTGATACTATACAAATATCTGCACCACCTTTTTCAATCAAAAGTCTAACACAATTAAAACATCCTCCTTGAATTGCATAGAATACTGGTGTACAACCTGCAGCATTACATTATTATTTCTGTCACTGATCATCACACAATAATATCCATCTCTTTTTACATAGTAGTAATAAATTGTGCATGACAAGAAATTCCAATTTATGTTTATCTCACCTTAATCAGTTACACCTACCGAAAAAAAAAAGCATATATATATATATATACTAATTTAATTTTCTAGAAAACAGATTCAAGAAAACAAAGATTACCGAACTGATCTCTGAAATTAACCATACGTCGATCGTATTTGATTGCATTACGAATAAATTCAATATTACCTACAATTTTTCAAAAATTTGTTTACAATTTCTTAAAAGGAAAAATACATTTACAAAACTGCTGATGCGCATGTCGTTCATTTTTAAGATTAATAGAATGGCTGATTCTATGAAAGTTAGGACACTGCTGCGTTACAATCCGATACGATAATGCCATGATGCATCAAAATTTTGTTTGCTATTTGTAAAACTAAAGTTGTGTGAAAGGAATACTTCATACTAAATTGAAAAATGAATGCTATTTTAATAAAAATCTTATTAAGCTCATTAAGCTTTGATATTCTCAGTTATGACACTAAAAATGACAAACTAAACTGGTATGCGCGTGGGAGTTGAACCACTGATATGATGATTACTTGAAGGTTACCATCATTGATGGTCAGCAATGAATAAAACGTTATCCGTAAAGGTAAAGGCAGTGTTGCACACCATTTGCAGCAGCGACATGCAGCGGTAGCATACGGAAGTTGTTAGGTAACATTGCCAATTTTTTTCCGAATCGTTTCAGAAGCCACAAAGCCAGGTCATTGTTTCCTCGTGCAACAGCAGCCATTAACACCGTAGTACCATTGATATCTCGCTGTTGTGCCCGAGCAGAGACATGTTTCGAATTTCCACTGAACAGTAATTCAACGCTTAGCGTCTGCCCTTCACCTGCAGCGACAAGAGCCGGATTCTCTCCGAAGATTGATACAGCATCTTGTGTTGCTGGTGCTTCGTGTTGCAGTAAACTAAATATCACAAGACAACAGTAATATTTAGTGCTTTTGTTTCATTACTTTGAAAATTAAAGGGAAGAAAAACAAACATACTCGATAGCTTGCAAAAAGCCAAGTTTGGCAGCCACATGAAGCGGTGTTTGTCCACTGATGTCGCGTTGTTCCAGATCTTTTTTATTCATATATGTGAGACAATGCATGTGATTAGAGCGGACGGCTTTGAATGCGCTGTTACAGCAATTGCTTGTTGATGAAAATGCATGACGCATTTTAAAATATGCAGGGGACCAATTATCCTGTTTAATGCACCATTAATATTCTAAAATTTTCGTAAGTCTGATACAATCAAGACGAGAATATTATTAACAATTTGAAATCAGATTATCACTAAAGTTATAAAACCTTTCGATTTTAACGATTTTTATATTAATGCAAAATGCTCGTCTAAAAATTTGTTTGCGTTTAAAGAATGGAATAAAAACATAAAATAAAGTAAATCGAAATTTTAACATGTGGGAATTTGAAATCATTTGTTTATAGGATCACTTAACAAAACATAAAGAAAGAATGAAAAAATCTTTGAAAGAATACTGAACACTTTTGCACAGAAAAAAAGATATTAGGTTTTCTTATAATTAAAACTGAAATAGCACGGAGAATGCGACAGAGTAATTGAAGTTGTTCTTAATAGGACAGATGATTTGGATGCTACAATACCCGACAACAAACATTCAGTCAAATACGGTGTTTAATTTTGTCGCATTCACCAGATTGGTTTCTTGTTGGTGTTCATGCAGTGTGAAAAATAAATTGAATTCGTATACTTCAGGTTCCATAATTACACTAAAGGCCCTAACCTGTCTTCAGACATCATTTCTTCAGTTCTTAAATCCATTAAAAAATGCAATAGTAATGTATGTTCGTCCAGTTAGGCACTGGAACTGCACTAAATGTTCCAAAATTTATTTTGGTCAGACAAGAATTACTTTAATAATTTTGTAAGTTGAAA